TATGAATATACGGGGTGTTCTGAAATCCTGGAGCTCGCTCGAAGGGTGGAATACGACAATGACTATATTTAACAGACGATTAAAAACATTCAGAAAATATTCCACTCAATGGTCAAAGTAATTCTAGAGATAAACAAAGCAACTGAGATCGTGGCAGTAGAATAATAGAATTAAGAATTATCGTCGTTGGCCGTCGAAGGTCAAACATATAAAAATTCTAAAAATAAATACCTAAAAATTAGAAACAAATATATTTACTTGTGTTGTTATAAAACTTTTATTTAAATAAACATTTGCTAATAAAGTGGTAACTCTGATGGCTGATGACTTGTGGCTTTTTTTGTTTAATGTTCAATATTGAAAGTACCTATATTTTAGCACACTCCGTATACGTTACTCTTACAGCATGTTGTTAACAATGATAACCTTCAGATAAAAATCATTTATTAACTTGACTATTTTTTTTTACATAACACTTCAGAAATACAGCATAATGGAAATCAGATAACAGAATAACAAATTCGATATCTCAGTACATGATACGAGAGTGATATAATAATGATTGCTATACAAAAATAACTCATTATAAGATCACGTTTGGTCTTCAAAAGTAATTATCATTCTTCTTACATGTGGAAGATCAATAAATGAGCATTAATTTGATAGACGAGATAGATATGATTAGACATGACAATTAATGGCTGCTGGTGAAAACCAAAGTGCACGCTTAAATCATTCGAGCTGCCACTTTAACATTTAAAAACTTTATCTATTATTTTACTGTTTAAAGTATTTTACATAAAAATTTTATAATTTTGTTCTTTGATTTATCTAATTGGATTAAGAGCTATCAAATTTTTAATATTAAGTTCATTAATTTAAAAAATATTGTATGTATTGGTGTTTAAATTTTAATTTGAGACAAACATTTTATTTTCCAAAGTTCACAACTTTTTGAAAAATTAAATTTTGAAAAAATTTGAAAAACAACTGTATCCGTGTCTATGTGCAAATGTTTTACAAATACAGGGTGTTTCTAAATAAGTGTCGCAACGGAAAACTGTAAATTCCTCTTGAAAAAAGAAACATTGTTTTCCTCTTCCATTTTTCTCTCCGGGCTTTCGTTTTCGAAATACACGGTGTCAAAACTAATTTTTTTTTAGTTTTTCGCCAGTATCTTAGGAATCGTTTGAACTACAGGACTGAGCTTTTGTACATACATTACCACTATTAATAGCTACTTTTTTGCACCCTTCTCGAATTCATTGGACGTGCCAGTGGTGGAGATTTTAAGGTATCGTAAAGGGTTTTCCCCCCCCTAAATTTTACGCCACTGGAAAAATCGACTTTTGACAGCAAATTCTAAAGCGCCAATGAATTTTACACAATAAGAGTTCTCTTGGTTCATTGCTCTAAAGTCAACCGTTTTCAAGAAAAATGACTTTTTATGAACAAAAGCAAACATTTTGCTAACGTTTCGAAAATCTTTTGTAATTCAAAAAATAGGTAGTAATAATTAACAATTTTAACGAAATTTAACAACAGATAGGATTTTAACTTTTTCTTATCAATTTGGCAAGTAAAATTTACAGAAACTGTTCAAAATTACGTCCGTTGACTTGAATGCACGCATTACTTCTTCTAATCATGTTTCTTTCTGCCGCTGCGGCTTCATCTCTATTGGTCAACTTTTTGATAGTATTGACATGGAACGTTAGCAAAATGTTTGCTTTAGAGCAATGAACCAAGAGAACTTTTATTGTGTAAAATTCATTGACGCTTTAAAATTTGCTGTCAAAAGTCAATTTTTCCAGTGGCGTAAAATTTAGGGGGGAAAAACCCTTACGATACCTTAAAATCTCCACCACTGGCTCGTCCAATGAATTCGAGAAGGGGCGAAAAAGTAGCTATTAATGCTGGTAATATGTGTACAAAAGATCAGTCCTGTAGTTCAAACGGTTCCTAAGATATTGGCGAAAAACTAAAAAAAAATTAAAGTTTTGACACCGTGTATCTCGAAAACGAAAGCCTGGAGAGAAAAATGGAAGAGGAAAAATATGATTCTTTTTTCAAGGGGAATTTACAGGTTTCCGTTGCGACACTTATTTAGGAACACCCTGTATACTGCAATTTCTTGACTGCACTGACGACAACTTTGAATCTCTTTACCGATTTAAAAAATGAAATGCAGTCAAAATATTATTTTTCGTAGGCTCTGCCCTTAATAACCGTCATAGTAGGCAAAAAAATCAATGGAGACGAATCCGTAGTAGTCACAACCAATCCCCAAGTGGACAATCCGAAAAAGGTCACTATCGGAATGCCCAGCCCCAACGCTCCCATCAGGGCGCTGTTACGGGATGGCCCCAAATGGGCTTTATACATGAAAGGTATTATTTATATATTTTCCTTATCCGTTACCATTTGGTACATTTCTTCGCTTCTAGGAGTCATCGCGAATTACATAGGAAACATCCCGCCTGCGTTCAAGGCAGTGGTACACACCAGTGTACCAACAGGTGGCGGTCTGTCGAGCAGCGCAGCACTGGAAGTTGCCACTTACATGTTTCTAGATCAACTAATCGGCCCGAACTCAGTCATGCAAGTACTTCTAAATGTATTACGATAATAATAAACCTCCCCACCCTCACTTATAGTAAGTTTTTTGTGGTAGGGGCTGCACATTATGATTGTTTTAGTTTGAAACAACAAACCGGGTGACATTTTTTTTTTATGAGATCATGAATTCAAATGGTTTTCCAATCACCAATCACTCAAGTCGGTTCAAAATTTCGAACAACCTTTTTAAAGGACTTTTTGGTGTTAAGGTGAAAACACTGGTCCACAGGAGATTTTTTTATACTGTTGCTCCTTCAACTTGTTTTACAACAAAAATGATATTGAAATGGCCCAAATATAATGCAAATACAAATTTCAGGCCTACCGATAAAGCACTAGCATGCCAAAAGGCGGAACACGACTACTCCGGAATGCCTTGCGGTATCATGGACCAGTTTATATCACTGATGGGCAAAAAAGACCATGCCCTTCTTATAGATTGCAGGTAACTACAAAAATTACAAATTTAACTTTAAAAACGATTGTTTTACAATAATATCCTTCCAGACATCTAACTTCCACTCTTATACCCTTGAAAGATCCCGATGTGGTAGTGTTAATTGTAAATTCCAACGTGAAACACGAACTAACGGGCAGCGAGTACCCCACAAGACGAAAACAATGCCAGGAGGCTGCTTTGTTGTTAAAGAAGGTTAGTTTAAGGGATGGGACAGCTGAAGACGTCGAGTGTAAGTACAAACTAAATTCGTTTATCTTGAAATATATTATTTGAAATTTCGTCCCCGTGGTGCACGCGTACAGGCAACCCAAAACACAACTACCCGTTAAACAGTTTGCATATGCGTCATTTAGTGTATAAATATAGGCAACTCAAAGTACAGCTGTAGGTTGAACGATTTGCATACATTGCATTTAAGGTATCTTTATAGGCAACTCAAAGTACAACTAATGTTACCGGTTTGCATAGGCAACTCAAAATACACGTACGTGCTGGTTTGCATACCCAACTTTTTTTAGATATTTGAAGTAATTTTAATTACATTCAAATACTTGATACAGACTTTTAACTTGGATTAAAATGTCGATTTCAGACTTGAAGTCAATAAACACCAACGAAGAGATCATAAAAAGGGCCAGGCATGTCATAACGGAGATTCAAAGGACGACGGAGGGTGCGGCAGCCTTGAGAGAGATGAATTACAAGAAATTCGGGCAACTTATGATCGAAAGTCACATGTCGCTCAGAGACGACTATAACGTGTCCTGCGAGGAGCTGGACAGTCTAGTGGAGTTAGCTCTGGAAGTCGAGGGGGTCCTAGGGAGCAGAATGACTGGTGGTGGGTTTGGTGGTTGTACGGTTTCTCTGGTAAAGTTTTTAATTGAATAAAATGTGTGTAATGATTTGTAATTGTATTTTTTTTCTGTTTTAGGTATACTCACGAGTCGTGGACAAGGTGATTAAAAATATTCAACAAAAATACAAGGGAAAAGCGACGTTTTACGTATGCAAGCCTAGTGCCGGTGCGGGAAAAGCTTGTGGATGTCCAAAAGATTAAGAAAAAACAATAAATAGGACCAAAAATCATGCTTTAAAAATCCCATGTAATATATGTACTAATATTTTCATATGTCTTTAATAAATTGCTCAAAAACAATATCTTCCTTGTAAAATTAAAATAAAATCGAGGACTTACAAATTTAGAACGAAAGAATGTTAAGGAAATACACCACATACTGTTACTTTATATTTCTCATTCTTAATTCGAACAACAAAAAGGCTTTCATATTTGGATCTGTAACTTTTTCGTTTATTTCTTTAATTGCTTGTTCCCCTCCGTCCTTATAATATTCACTCAGCTTCTCAGCGTACTCCAACCAAACACAATTGGCACAACCCGACATACAACAAGAAGTTGGTGCCTCAGGATACTCTTTCTTCTTATTATCACTACTTTTCTTTGGTTCTGCTTCATTGCTATTTGGTTTTATATCATCAGGTACTGTTTCTTTGCCATTATTCTTACATTTGTTTGGTTTTCCTAGACTAATTTGTCTACATTCTTGAAACCTACTGAACAATTTGAGGTTAGGTCTGACACTTCGGCCTGTAACAAATTAAATGAATATATGTACTAATAAATAATTAGTTGGAATACTTACAAGGCTTAAATATATGTATCATTAAGTCGCTGGGATTTGAAATTACGTAACATGGTTAAATGAAAGGCGCAAAAGTCCCTTCAACCCCGTTAAAAGAAATAGTGACAGATGAACTAATTTAAAAATGAGATATTTTGTCTACTAAGAAGAGGATTTTAAAAGTAGTTCAATTGACTTATCCAAGGTTACTATGGCGTAGGTGGTATCGTAATTTTGAACCAATTGAAGGATAATGCGGAGTAGATATTTGTTCTTCTGTGCTTTTTTTATTTGTCTGTCACCGATGTATATTTAAATTTATATATATCACCAGGTGTACAAAATGACTATAAATCATTGATTAAATCGGAAAATTGGTTTATTTAGTTTAAATTAAACAAAACAAACACCTTGTGGGTTCAATTTCATTGAATAAATTACTTTCTAAATAAGAAATAAAAATTGTATTATTTTTTTACAGTTACATAAATATTAATTAATTATAAAATAATATATATATATATATATATAAAGATGGCGGACACGAATTTCTAATTCCAAAAACATATTTGCATTCGATCTAACATAAATAACAAGCCTTTCCTCCTAAATATGTTTCTAAGAATACAAGTTTCATTATTACGTTTCGTTTTAATTAATTTTTAAATTTGATTTATTGTAATTAACTATAAAATGTAACAGGAATAATAGTACAATGTAACAGGAATAATAGTAAATTTGACAGTTTTAGAATAATTCTATGTAGTTCTCAGTTGTGTGACAAATCAATGCAATTAATAAAAAAAATAAACTCTATTGAACTTTTTCCGGAATTCGTGTCCTCCATTTTTTTCTCTTAATGCAAATTTCGATCTAACATGAACAACCCTGAAGAAAAAGCAAAATTTTAGAAATTGAGACTTCGATCTCCAGAAAAAAAATTAGATAATGAATAACGACTTTTATATTAATACATTTGGCGTAATTTATGATGCACAGCAGGAACAATATTAGGCCCTGTTATACCAGATTTAACGAGTCGCCTCTGTCAAAGCATCTGTTTTACATAAGCGAGTGCAAGCGGACGCTTTTGCTTTTGTTTTACTTTGGCCTTTGTTTTTGTTCCTGGTTCATCGTGTTTGTTTACTGTCTACCTGTCTCCGTTACATTGTAGATTACAGACCAAGCTTGCATTTTATTTTTTATTAATAACAAATAATCCTCCTGAAAAAATATTTATCGCTGTATACATCCGTAATATGGATACCCTGTTATTAAGATATACTTATCTTTTATGCGATAAGGAAGTGAGGAGGTGTAGGCTAAGCATGAGTATAAACAAAACAAACTGGAGAGCCCCCGGTGACGCGGCGTGTTTTAAAAAGGGAAGACAAAAGATAAAAAACAACTGCCGCTCTCTCAGTCACTCGTCTCGAAGACGCGGTTTGACGAGTTGCCATCGAAATATAACTTCCGGCAAAAGAAACGACGTCCTCCATCCTGTAGTGCCCTAAATAACCACAGCGTAGTGGAAACCGCTCGAATTCGAAAATTAAAACAGACCTAGTATTGTTGCGGCGTCGCTAGGCGCACGTGGTTAACATGTTGAAATCGCTGTTTCCTTGGAAACACCACAAAACAAAAGCGATGGCAGCCCAACAAACGATGGACAACGGTAAGTGTCAAAATTGTTAATAATTATTGTCATTATCCTAAAATTTGCGCAATTCACGCGGGTATTATTCATAATTTTGTATGCACAGTGTAATAGCAACAATTTTCTCAGCGTTTCTATTCTCCTAATAAACAAAATTGTGTCAGATGTCCCGTCGCTGCACACCCACGATACTCCTAGGATTTTCGATTTATTATTTCTTGTAAACGGCCAATTGGTACCGAAAATAAACTTTGTCTATAAATAAACACCTAGCCGAAAGACCTTATTTTAATGCACCACTCCAGGAAATGATCCCACCCGGTTTTATTTATTTTTCACGCATTGACAGTTGTCAGATTTTAGAATTAAATCTTCACGTAAGTTTTCCCCTTTTTTTAAACCATCATTAACCGTTTAGATGACCCATTAACACCCTAATTTCAGAATAATTTTAAACCCACCCACATGTAAACAAAACAACTTCTTTTTCTAGATTTATAACTGTGTTTGCTAGCTAATATATTAAACTGTTGTTTATATTCCTCGGTACTTTTTAAACCTCATCCCACCTAAACATTGCAAATAAAGGCATCTCGGTGCAAACTAGTTCTCCTTGATTGCTTAATTGCTTTTTGAATCAGATTTTTCGAGACACACGAATGAGTATGTGGTCTCTGCTTAGATGTGCTGTTAAGTGATGTAAGTACAAATATTAGTATTCTATAATTTTTAATGTATGCTCAAACATATCTTCTCGGGTTATTGTGTAATACTTGACCTTGTGCCTGAATTTGTGATGCCTTGGTCAACAATGTATGCATCTCATATAATAGTAATTACTTGGGTAATATTGAAAGACTATTATCGGCTTTTTTATAGCTTGGTCACGTAGAAGTATAAATTCGTACCTGTTTGTTAATTTTGCCTTTCAAGGTAGGTTTTGAAGCGATTTTGAAAGTCTTATTTTAAAAACCTCCTCCTCTGTTGTAAGTAGTTTTAAAATTTTATTGTACATATTTTTTTATTGCAATGTAATTATTTTATTACAACACCTAATATATTTGAGGATGATAAAGCTGGATAATTTCCTATATTTAGGAATTGTAAAAGACATCTTGTGCTTAAACTGCTACAATGATAATAAACTTTACTTTAAACATGCTACGGTAAAGATCATAAAATTAAGATAACCGTTTTTTTTCTCTTGGAAACTATGTGTTAGTAATATGTAATAAGAAACCATTATCTTAATTAAAAAAATCATTTTCATTTCATTTTTATTAATTAGTTTCATTGCAATGAGTCAAATTGTTTATATTTAAGAATTCTGTATACATATACTGAGAAAAGTGTTCACCTATATTCGTATTTAAGGTCTTTCTTGCTTCAGTATTTTGCTAATTTTTTTGAATATATTTAGGTTGTCTTGAAATTTATTATAAAAGTCGTCAAATTCGTGAAGCCCTGCATTATTTTTCCCATTTTATTGAGTGTTCTCTTAAAAGATAATGTTTTTGTATATTCTGTTGTCTGTGTATGTGATTTGATCGTAGTTATTGACTTTAAATCAATATTTACAAGATAAAGAGTGTGCACAGATTCTGGAATAGGTTTATCATTTATTTATAACTTTATCAGCGGCCATAGATAGCTAAATCTCATGTAAAAGCACATTATTTACTGATTTACCTAATCGTTATTTTTTTATGCTAGTTATATATTTCTAGGGGCAATTGAAAATAAGGAACAACTATTAATCGCAGTGATTTGAATAAGACATTTAAATATAACGATTAGAAAAGTCGGTATAAAACAAATAAAAATAAAAACATAAATAGTAAGGTAAATGCACCTGGATTCTTATGTGAAATAAACAAACAAGAATAAGTAACAAAATAGGTGACTTTTAAAGGAAATGAGAAAACTAGCTTTAGATCATTGGAAGATTGGAATCAATTGTTATTTCATTTGTAAAACTTTTACATATTTATTTTAATAAAATTACTATAATTAGCTGCTCTTTGTGGACAAGTAAAATATAAAAATTTTTGGTGCTAAAAAAATCATCGTATTTCTTATGTTTTATATCTTCACCATTTCGAGATGTATTCCAGAAAGTGTTATTTCAATTTAATGTTTGTAAATTTAATTTCAGAAACCATAATTTGTCAGAATGTCTGATTAGACATGAATTTCAAAAAATGTTGTTTTAAAAATTCTACAGATGTTAAGTAATTGAGTATTTCTACCAAGGCAAAAATGGTAAACACCAATTTTGTAGGAAATTTTTTTGCGATATCAAAGAAATACATAAACAAAAATCAACTGTTGCATTTTGAAGATACAAACCAAACTCTTTTTTCTTTTTAAATAGAACACCCAGTCTATTTGTTGTTTATTGTAATCCTTTTTGCAAACTATTTTGATTTACTTATTGATAATGGATAAAATCAAGACTGCCATGGAACCGATGCATATTTTAGCTTTTCCACTATTCAATTCACAGTGATTCCATGGCAACTTTGCCTATGTGCAAAATTAGGAAATAAACCAGAATATTGTGTAAACTATCAAAGCAAACAGGTATATTACATGGTGATCCAGAACTTATAGTGTGTCTACTTAAGTTGGAACCATATGGAAAACTTTTTTATTATTGATTTTATGAAAAAAAGTTATTCTTCATAAAAAACTCTGCATGGTCTAAAATCTAAATCGCTCAAGTGTAAAGTACCCTTATTTTTGACAATACAGAAGTGTTATGAAGAAAAGTTATTTTGAATTAAAAGTTATTTACAAATATGCAATTACAACTATTTAGCATGAAGATTCAGGTTTTGTGATTATTTACGTTTTACATTATAAATTATTTGTATTATTATTATAATTAAATTGCAAAGTTGTTCATAAACATTAACAAATGGAAAGATTATCATATTTTTAACAAATAAGAGAGATAAATATAAATTTTTCTTTATAACATTCTTCTGTATTGTCAAAAATAAAGGTACTTTACTCTTGAGCAAAATTCATAATTTCTGATATACCTCGTATATGACTGGGAAATTTTGATAACTGAAGGTTGCATTTTTTGGATCATGCAGAACTTTTTATGAAGAATAACTTTTTTTCATAAATCCAATAATAAAAAAGTTTTCCATATGGTTCCAACTTAAGTAGACACACTGTACAAAAAAAAATTTTTGAATGTACGGAGGACAAATACAATTTTGTAAAAAAAGGGCAATTCGAAAATCATTTAAAAGTACAAAGAATTTCTTTCTGAAGGAAAGAAATAAATAAAATGTTATAACAGCTGTTTTATATCAGCAAATTCAACTGCTTTTGCCGCTATTGTTATTATTAATTAATAAAATTTGTGGTTTTAATTAACAAAATAATTTGACATACAAATGTTGTCTTTCTTCACCATAAATTAAAATGATAAGCCATTTTTGACACTTAAAAAACTAATGTAAACACTATCGCAACAACGTTAATACCAAAATCGGATTTCAGTATTCGTAATCGCCTGGTGCCACGTGGGCGAATGACGCTAGAGACTACAGTACGATGTAAAGGTTGAAAATACTACAACCTCAATTTTTCTTTTCTCGGAAACTAATTTTACAAAAATTTTTTTTTTACGATACCTATTCCCAAATTTTTTTGGATGAGTTGTGAATCACCCTGTATATCACTGTAATCAGAAAAAGAGAAAAATCGAAAAAAAAACTTCGAATATACAGGATGATCCATTTAAAAAAACAAACGTTTTGCTTATATTTTCGATATGCATCCGTCAATATATTAATATTGCTTTAAAATTTCAAGAAAATTACCTAAAACTTGGATAGATCTTGGATAGAAAAATAAAAAAGGTAAACTGACTATTCTGAAATAGAATTGACACTTTCTAAAATACAACTGAATATATATAGTTCCCTGAGGAATTCCAATTCTGACTTTTTTAATTTTTAAATAATTTTAATGTCCCACTCCTAGTACCATAATGGTTTTTTAGCATCAATGAGTTGCTTATTAGGCATAGTATAAGAGGCCTTTGCAAAATCTAAAACAGCAATGCCTTTTTTATTATCTTTGAGCCAATTTTTTTTCTACTAATCGATACATGGCATCACTTTCGCTAGTCTCTTTTATAAAACCAAGTTGATTGTGACAAAAACTCGATAGAAATAAGGCAGTCAACTTATCCAGTTTCAAGAGTTTTTCAAAACAGTTAGCAATTGTGAAAATGAAACGGAACTGATTGGTTAATTTGCAACTGTGGAAAAGTCAAATAAATGTTTTTGTCTCAATACCAAATAAATTCAATCTGTTTTTAATTTTGGAAAAAGGGAAAATTATTTTTAATTTTGGTGATTAACTATTTTAATCATGAAAATTAAAAATAATTTTTAGATTTTTCAAAAAAACATGTTAATCATTAGCTAAATTCTACTATAATCGGTTTAGTTTGATAGAATTTAAAAAAAAGTCAATTAAAAGAAATATATATAAAAAAATGTCGGTTTCTAATTCTTTTCTCTGATGCGTTTATTTTTGGGTTCATATTTTCTCTAAAGTACGCATTTTTCAGTCTCACAAATTGAGTTAATATTTTTTCCCAGCTAAAAATTCCATATTTTCGTAAAAATGTATCTTTTTTTTAATTTTAGCATGTTAAAGTTTAAATAAATCCAAACGCCTAGTCAGGAAATCAATATCTTCGCCCTGTTCCTAACCACCTTTCGTTTGTTTGCATACAGGATGTTTCCTAAGTAGTTAAATATTTTAGAGGGCGAGTCTTCAAATAATCTGAAGAATCATGAAATATCTCATGTTATTATCTGCTCCCAATTTTCAACTTTGCGTGTCCTTTCAGAAGTGGCAGACGTAGAATTCCAAAGTCAGGAGCTGCTCCCATGCCACGTCTGCGGTAGAACCTTCCTCCCGTCCCCTCTGAAAAAACATGAGCGCATCTGCGAGAAGACTTCCACGAAGAAACGCAAACCTTTCGACTCACTGAAGCAGCGAGTGGAAGGCACGGACTTGGCCGACTTCCACCAGAAGACCTACCTGAAGAGGCCGGAGCCTTCACCCTCCCCCGACCTTAAGAAGAAGAGTCAGAGCACTTGGAAGGAGAAGCACCTCGCGCTGGTCAGCGCCATAAGGGCTGCCAAGGGTGAGTTTTGCAGCTTTTTATAAAAAATTTAATACTTGTGATTCATTTAATGCCAGTAATTTGACGGTAATAGAACTGCAGCAGTATATTTATTTTTTTGGTCATAAATTTGTATAAAAAAATTTAGTCAACTATTTTTTTTTTTTTATTGGAGGCTCAATCTGTTGGCCGTTTATCCATATGCTCCTTCTAAAGATCTGCTCCTTCGAAACATCTGGGTTTTTGTTATTTTTATCAATGAAAACGCCTCTTGGAGCATAGTTCTTCAATATTTACTGCAACTTAGCTTCTAGTGTCAACATTTTGAAAGTTTACGTAAGCTGATTTACCGTACATGGCTTTAAGGGAAATTTTGTGTCAGTTTTTCTAACTAACCACTGAAAGCTTTGAAGTCAGAGATGCAAACTTTAGAAAGTCTTTTAATTTCACTTTTATTTTTCAAGTCCCAGTCAAGAAAACAGTACGAATTTTTTCACCATCGCTTATAAATAACAGATTTAAGGGAATAAACTGTGTAAGTTCACCATTTTTAAACTTAAGTAAAGCTCTCGACTGTGTTTTCCATAAGTTATTAAATAATTTTTTTTATGGTTTCTCGGCAGAACGTCTTTTATCATCATATTTAACATATTTTAATATACAGGGTGGTTCAGAACTTATCCAAAAAAAAATTCTGGATGTACAGGGGACCATTGCAAATACAATTTTCTAAAGAAAAAATCAAAGAGGGCAGTTTGAAAATGATTTAAAAATACACCTCTGCACGGCACTGGAAACTGGTCCACTGTAAAACCTGACCTTGCACAATGTGACCGGCATGGCGGTGTGATAAAAACGGACAAAAAGCTTTCTCAAGGAAAGAAATAAATAGAATTTTATAGCATCAATTTTATATCGGCAAATTCAACTGCTTTTGCCTTTATTAATTAATAAAATTAATTTATGTTTTTAAATAATAAAATCATTTGACATACCCGATGTTACAATTGTTCAAAATTTTATCCACCAACGCGTAAACACATTTGGGTCAATCTTACTCAGTTTCCACGAACTAACATAAATGCTGTCTTGTTTCACTTTAACACAAATGCTTCACCATAATACAGATGTTGTCTTACTTCACCATAAATTAAAACGATATCCATCAACCCCGAGTTGCTATACACGCAAACCATTTTTGACAGTAACTACTAAAAAACTATTGTAAACACCACAGATAACAGATAAACACTATCGCAACGATGATTGCAAAATCAGATTTCAGTATTCGGAGTTGCTGAGGCCACGTGACTCCACGCGTATTGCGAATGACGCTAGAGACTACAGTTGTCCAGCTATGTAGTGGTTGAATGTACTAAAACTTCAATAATTTTTTTCTCAGAAACTATAACGATTTTACATTTTTTTTACGATATTGACTGCATTTCTCATGCCGCATCTATTCCCAAATTTTTTTGGATACGTTGTGAATCACCCTGTATAAAGGTCTATCGATTTTACAAATTATTGTAAAAATAAATCGATCATAGACGTCCGTAAGGGGCTCTGATAACCCCTACTTTTAATATAATTTCAACGCCACTGGAAATTTTTCAAAATGAATATATTTTTTTACGTTGCGGTTTATTCTACAGCAAAAAGTTCTCTTACTGTTTTTAAATGAAATGCTTGGTTTTTCATTCGTATACTTCACACTAAATATAAAACAAATGGCTTTCATAGTTTAAGAAAAAATAAATAAAAAGTTTTTATTAAAAACCTAAAAAAAAAAATTTTTTCAAGAGCTTGTATCCCTAAAAGGAAGCCTTTGAAAGGAAAAGTGTAGGTATACTTCAAAATGACACCATTTTGACGAGATATATCGATGGTTAAAGTTCTAATCAAAAAAGTGAATCACCCTGTATATAATTACATTCTCACTCACCTGGCAGGTAAAATGTCTCACCGAAACGACCTGTCTTTTTGTAAATATCTATTTTTAGTCACAAATATTATCCTGTAAAAATTTCAGTGCCTCAAGACTATTTTTTTGTAAAAATATTTAGCTTCCTTAAAAATTTAATGGCCGCTTAAGCCCCGCAACCCTTCAGCCAGGTCTGCATTTTTGTATTCAGGCATCTCTAGAAGAAGTTTGAACAATTTTTCACAGTGCCTAAAACACCTACCCAAAAATGTCTACCAGCTCTCCGTCTATTATAATTGCATTAAATCCAAATTGTTAGAAGACATGGAGTTCCACAAGGTTGGGTCTTGGGTCCTCTACTTTTCGTTACTTACGTTAATGATTTTCCTAATATTTTTGACAAGTTTCAAGTATTATTTTTGCCGACAACGCTAGATATGTCTGTTACTGGTTTCTGACCAATAAACTCACTATAAATATGCCCAAGACAGAAACAATGATGAACTCTATAAACTTTTTAACTTCTTGTTTTATTAATGTTTATATTTAATTGTACTACTTTGCCAAAAGTGTCGAGGTATTGGGTAATCTCTATGTTAGCTTCTAAAATATCTACCAGAAGTCTTTATATTTTGGTGACTTGCCCATTCCTTTTTCTTTGTGTAAAATTGAACCCTTTTATGGCAAGTTTGAGTCCTTACAGTCCTTAATTTCTGTTATCTTGTACAAATTTCTCCACACTTCTGAAATGTTCGTTTCACCATATGGCAACGCCAGGGGGTGAGATAGTCCAACCATTCTGTCACGGATTAATGTTAAATTTGCAGAAATTATTACCTGGACAAAAAAAATATGACCATATAGAAAATTAAATTTTAAATTGAATTTCTTATTCTTTAAACTCGATCCAAAATGGCGAACATGGTTAAAAAAAATCGCAAAATTGCAAAAAACTGTTTTTCTAAAATAACTAAAAAAATATAGCACCGATTGAAAAATTTTAAATAAGAAAGTTGTAGGTTTTAAAAAGATCTATCTACTGATTATTTGTAAATATCGATTGCTTAGTTACTTTTCGAGATATATCGAAAAAACCGTTAAAAATTTTCTCTTTTCTCTTCTATAACTCGTTTACATTTACGTGTCCATATTTGCTATTTACTGCAAGCATAGCCCGCGGCAAGCCAAAAAAGTACATTTTTGAAAAATTTAAAAATATTAATTATATTTCGAGATATATCGATTTTTTGAAAAAAAGGCGCTCTCGAAAATTGGCTAGATCTTCTCAGCGGATAGCCCTACAGTAACGATTTTCGCTTTATTTTCTTCGTAAAGAGTTATATTATCATGCTGTTAAAAAATGTTGACGATTTTATTAATTTTAAGGATCAAAAAATGACTGAAAACGTTGCACTTTTTTTGGGTATGTTTTTTTCAAATAACTATTTCAATTTTTATTATTTTTTTGTACTTAATCTGGAGTAGCTAAACACGAATATTATAGCATTTTCGCCTTAGAAGCAAAATAGACCCGTAAATGTTTAGTTTTCTTTCTTTAAAAGTCATTTTCATAAAATAAAAATTGAAATAGTTACATACCCAAAAAAGTGCAACTTTTCCAAAGTCATTTTTTGATCCTTAAAATTAATAAAATCGTCAACATTTTTTAACAGCATGATAATATAACTCTTTACGAAGAAAATAAACCGAAAATCGTTACTGTAGGACTATCCGCTGAGAAGATCTAGCCAATTCTCGAGAGCGCCTTTTTTTCAAAAAATCGATATATCTCGAAAAATAATTAATATTTTTAAATTTTTCAAAAATGTACTTTTTTGGCTTGCCGCGGGCTATGCTTGCAGTAAATAGCAAATATGGGCACGTAAATGTAAACGAGTTATAGAAGAAGAGAAAAGAGAAGATTTTTAACGGTTTTTTCGATATATCTCGAAAAGTAACAAAGCAATCGATACTTTCAAAAAATCAGTCGATAGACCTTTTTAAAACCTACAACTTTCTCATTTAAAATTTTTCAATAGGTGCTATATTTTTTTAGTTATTTTAGAAAAACCGTTTTTTTCAACTTTGCGATTTTTTTTAACCATGTTCGCCATATTGGATCGAGTTTAAAGAACAAGAAACTCAATTTAAAATTTAATTTTCTATACGGTCATATTTTTTTTGTCCAGGTAATAATTTCTGTAAGCATTTCTCTATAATGCTTGGACTAAGATTCAGTTTGTTATTTCTAGGGGAAGATTAGGTGTTCCGTTTTTATATTTACTGGTCGTATTTATTCAGAATTCAGTAAAAGTGTGAGATTGACTATAAAAATTCCCTTAAGTAGGACGGAATCGTATTTTTGGTTTATTTGTAAATGTGGTACCATATTGTGTTTATATTTAGATGCAATTCAAGCTATTGTAAGGAAACTAGTTAGGCAACACATTGAGAGACATTTTTATTTGTTATTTTTTATTCCTAGAATATGAAGAAATACAACAGTGTTGGATTTTTTGTTTGTATGGAAAAATTCTTTTAATACACTATATTTCTTTGTCAAACTAGACTTTTTTTGGAAGTTAGTATTAATTAAGCTAAATTTGTTACTAAACAAGTTGTTATTGTTGTTTTCAGACAACATATCGGATGGTCAATATTATGTAAAGTGCAATTCAAGGGCATATGAACAAATGATGTTAAATACAATAGTTGTTTAAATCTTGAGCTGAAATATTACGGTGAATATTGCAGGAAAAAATTACTTCTTGTTCGATTATATCTTTTGAATATTTAAAATTCAGGTAATGAAAAACATTGACTGTATTAGATATGATTTTTGGGAAACAATTTTTTAAATTTGTTTGAATTAGCTTTTAAATGGAGGTAAAAAAAAAACACTGAAAAAACCTAACTTCAAATAAGTTATGTCATAAAGTGTCACCGGAAAAGAAGTAGCTGGCGAGCTCTGGGAGATGATAAAAAATGGATGACATTGACATATTCAACACTCCTAGAAACTTACCTATATTAAATTTTGTTGCATTACTTTGTTTTTTTGGAAAATACAGGGTGACTCATTAACAATGCGAAAATCGAAATAAAGCATGCTTGCGCCAATGGTCACCATTTCACGTGTAGTATCTTCAGCTTTCGATTTTCCCATTGTTTATGAATCACCCTGTATATGGACAAGATATGATCGCATGTATCTAATAAACAAAAAATAAAAGGCAAGTGGTCCACAGGAAAAAATCGTCTTATTTTTTGACGTTTGATTATGGAACAAAAACTATCGAAATATTCAATAGTACCAAAATATTTGAATTATTCGAGTCTAAAAAGTATTCCAATGAAAATAGTAATGGTTAACAAACTACTATTTGTCATTAATCATGGTCACTGGGACACTGGCTAATTTTAATAGACAAAACTCACAAAAAGGGAGAAGTACAATGATAGTGATTCTCATAAACGAATAACTATCTAATCGTAGTAACTCACTATAATTAATAATTCATCTTTCTTTCCATAAGACACTTCATAATCTTCAATTTTATTCAATAATTGAAGTCTATGAATTATTAACTATTTGATAGCGCTTATCACTACAAAAACCCCTATAAACTTACTTAATACCCTTCCAAGTCCCTATTTATTTCCTATTTCTTCTACCACCCTACTTTTACGTTATTTCCTCTCCTCTGAAGCGTATCTACAAATCAAGTATTTGTAACGTCAAATTTTACTAACAACGACACATGTTTCAAGGGATTCCATCCGACGTGTCCCACGCCTTGCCCAAAACCAAAAGCACCACCATGGCCGGCACGGAGCGCTGCCCGTCCTGCGACCGCCAGTTTGGCCCCAAGGCGTACGACCGCCACGTCGAGTGGTGCAAAGAGAAGAAGGCCCAGCAGCGCATCCACCACTCCCCCGCCAACGTCCTGCTGGCCAAAGAACGTTTGGAGGCGAGGACCAAGTACGTCCCGCCATTGAACCGTTCCAAGAAGACCATCGTGAGGGAGAAGTACTCGAATCACGCTTCTACGGAGACGTTGATAAGCGTCAAGACCTCCTCTCCCCTCTCCAGGGGCCCTAGCGTGAGGAAGCCTCGTTCGGCGATCGATATGGGGAAGAACAACGAAAAGTGTAATAATAACAGCGAGGAGAGGAAGCCCAAGTTCGACAAGAACGGTACGGGAGGAGGGGACAAGGTGAAGACGCACGACGGCGGCGACAGGTGCGTGCCTGTGATCGGCAGCCCTTCTTCGAGATCGGAGATTTTGAAAAGGTAAGTGCTGCTACGCTTTACCACCTATGATATAAGAACCTCACGTCTGACGCGTCGCCACCCAATGACGTCATTATCAGTGGTTTAGTCGCATTGTAAATTGCAATTTTTAATTTAAATTTTTGTATTTAATTGTTGTGTTTATTATAATTCTTTGCATTATTTCCATTAGTTAAACAAGGTTGTAAATTTGAGGTTAGGTCGAAGGGTTATGGTGTAGTTTCGGAGTGGTACATTTCTATAGCTGTTTTGTGTTAAAAATGCAGCGTTCTGCCTAATATCTAACGCCTTGAGCAGGAAATAAGTAACAACGGTTTCCCTTGGAAGTGGTGACATCTCCGCCATTGTTTCGCCAAATGTTGGACGTTTGTTTTTGCCCACTAGCGCCATTGAAATGACGTCATGCGTGAAACGTTGAAGTTTTATAATCTAGGTGGTAAATTTCTGTAACTAGCCCCCAAAAATATACAAAGGGCTTTGTACCTTATTTTTTCATCAGTATTTTGTTAAAAAACGAAACAACACAAACGTGATTTGTGTTAACGATTTTTTTTCCCGATTTCTCTGATATTTTTCTATCGAGACCAAAATCTTTACAATATCAGACTTTCTGGTGTAACAAAACCTCTCCTTATCCTTTCGGAAAATTTGTAGGGAGAAAGGAAAGAGGTTGTGGCATTTCCCAAAATTTTCCCTTCTCCTTGCACTTTTTTCGAATCGCCATCCTCCCCATCTAAACCCCTCTCCTTTCCCCCCTACAGTTTCCAAAAGAGAAGGACCAGTGTACCGGTCACGAAATTAAACAACGTAAAAGTAAACAATCAGTTCGACGGCCTGACGGTGGCTTCCCTAATTTACGATAGTTCAACAAAGAAAATGGTGACGTGGAAGGATACTCTAAAAAAAACCTCAACAGCGGTTGCCGTAGGCGAAGAAAATTTTAACGAATGCGTAGACGTTTCGAAGTCGTCGAATGCCTCGTTGGACGCAACTTGTAAGGCCACGCAGAGCGAGAAGCTGCGGAAAGAAACAAAAAAGCTCCAGTGCAATAAGATTTTGTCGTGCAGCGACGTCTTGCACAAGAACCCTCCCAAGAAAATCCCCCTTTCCAAGTACAGTTTCAAGAGTAGATTGAACCTCACGGAGGATCGCAAACGAATAGCCGTTGCCCGTAGAACTGACGATGGTGCTTCCATAGGATCGACCACTACTGTAACGGTAAAATCGTCGAGTACAGACCTAGACGATTTGAACATAGACATCGACAAGCAAAGTTCTTGTAATTCTGTGGCTAACGCTTTTGAAAAGCTCAAAATCGATAGTGAGCACGACCTGAAATTTGAAGAAATAGAAGAAATTCAGTTATCGCCCGTTTCCGAACGAAAACCGGGAATTTTGGACAGTGAATCACTCGTCGATGTTCCTTTGATGGACGAAATCGTTGTAGACACGAAAAGCGAATTCAACCTTCAAAACGGTCACAGGGAGATGTCGGATTGGTTCGATGAATACATGAATAAATCGGAACCTTGTGTCGAAGATGCAACGACTAGAGAAGAGGAGGAAACTTGCGACAAGAATGAAAATTACACTCGGGATCCCTCGATTAACGCAACTGTAACAGAAACACCGTCCGACATTCAGGACGAAAACCTAGTCCTACTGTTCAAATCTTCTACGAACCTGGATCTGACGAAAAAAAACAGCGAGTTTACTCTACCGACGAAAAAGAGCGAGGAGCAACTGAAGAATGGCGTCTCGCAGGACAGCTTCACCACGAACTACGACCTGGACAGTATAGAGCTGAGTTATAGGAACCCATCGCACTTTTCCCTGAAAAAATCCGCTTCGGACATGTACTTAGACAGCGCGCAGAGCAACATGGGCCTCAGCAACAAAAACACGTTGATTTCGATTTATTGGAACAAAAATAGGGAGGTTTCTGACGAGGAGAGCTTAATAGATAGTAGGAAAACCGTCAGTTCGTTACCCAACATAAGAATCAACGAGGTGGTTTATAAAAGTGAAGCGGTGCGAAAAATCGAGCCTGTCGTCTCAAAGACGAAAATTTTCAGGCAGAACGAGTTGTTAAGGAGAAAGATACTGGAGATCGCCGCTAAAGAGTTCGTAGAAGACTGCCATGGCAGTACCGCCAAGGAAAACGTACGCCAAGAGCAAGAAAGCAGTTGCGAGAATCCTTTCCTAAAGTTCCTAGAAGAAGAATACACTGTGCCGAAAAAACGGAGGAGAGTAGAAGACGCTTGCGTGACACGAAACAAACAGAAAGTGTTCCGCTTTTCCGTCTCCCAGAACTTTGATTTAGACAAGTTCAAGGCCTTGACGGTACGGGAAAACGTAAACGTTTTAGAATACCGTAACGAAACTTCCGAAAACACCAAAAGAAAAGACGACAATCCTAGCGACATTAGCAGTTTGAACTCGGTCAGATCCGACAGTACTTTATACGGATCTTCATCGGCGATGGACTTCACAGACTACTCCCCCAGGATATTCGCCATTTTAGACAACGTCCTCAACGGCGAGCGGCGTCCCGTCAGCGACAAAAATCTAGTCGTTATGACCCCGAGCGACTGCTGCAGGCTCATAGACCTGGACAAAAAGAAGCTGCCCGAGCTAGAGCGACGTTTGAGGAAGATAAAGAAACGGCAGGCGAGGAGGTGTTGTGACTCTCTCAAGTTGCCAGCGATCGAAGTTAGAGGGCGCGTCCTCAGCGAAGATAAGGAGGTCCAGGTTAACGAGGCATCGCACCTGCCCAGGATCGTTGATAAGAAGCTGAGAAGGAGGGATAATATAAAGAAGCTGGAGGTGGACCTTAAGAAGGAAATCGGAGACGTATATTTAGAGTACGATAGTGAAAGGTGAGGTGTTCGAAAATTCTATAAAACTTATGATGTTGAGATGTTTTGCGGGTTTATTTTTTTGCTGGATATTCACGTGGAACTTAGTACTAATACTCCGCCCCCTCTCTCACACAAATCCTTCAACTTAGGTTAATCCAGAGTGTTATGATAAAAGTCGGCAATATTATTTATATATTTATTATTAATTTCCTCAGTTTTATTTATTTTAAAAGAATGTTTCACTAATGATCAGATTTTTTTTTATATTAAGTCTGAATTATTCCTTAACTGAAACGGATGTCTCGCCCGATTTAAATGCAACTCTGATCTTACATTTATAAGCAACAATACCTGAAACATAACCCAATTGGTATGTGCAGAGCTATGTACAAAGTGTCCCAATTAATAGGTGTACAGTCCATTAAAAAGGCAAGAAATTGCGAATCACCTGCTACGATTTTTTTAAACTGCAAATTTTTGGAAAAGTTTAACAATTTTTTTTATTTGTAATATAGGGTGTAGCGTTGAATGGGGTCATATTTATGTAGAGATTACCTTTGACCTTTAGAAACTCTTGGCATTAATTTTGGCATTGTTTTTTGAAATTCAAATTTTAACACGAGCTGCTACAGCTCATCTTTCTTTTGTTTACGTGTGTTTTCCACAATGTCACGTAGAAACGTGACAATGAAGACACATAAACACATCAAACCGTCACTAAACATTGAAATAAATAACTTGATGAAGTTATAGATTGCACTCATAGAGTTAATTACAGGCAGACCGTCATTTATTTGTTTGTTCCAAAGTGTAAATGTTTGTTTCTAAACAATGGTTCTGCTTTCCTATTGGCCGGTTAGAATTCGAAGTATCGTAGATGGGTTTAGGCTTTCACGAAACTAATAACATAATATTCCTCTTTTCAGGTTATTTAAAAAAAGACGTTTTTAGAATAATTGAAATGAGGAACATGAAATTCAGTCAAAATATTGTTCTTTTTTTTTACTTATAATTTTTATGAACATTTTTTTCCCCCTTTAAATAAAGAAATTGCTATCGTCTCTGTTGGCGACACGGAAATATTTACACAAGACATTTTCCTTTTCTGTACTCTTTTGTTGTTGTAGGTCACACACACACAATCCGTATAAAGTTTATATTGCTGGGCATCTCTAATAATATACACTAATGTAAAAAATTTAAGGGTCAAAAGAATTTCCGAAATTTTTCCGTGATTTTTGACAGACTGTATTTAGGTGAAAAATGGTCGTATCGGGAATTTAAAAAAAGCATTTTGAAGCTCTAAGATTTTAGTTTTTAGATCATTCGGTCGAAATTTTTTAGGAGCTACGGTTATCGTGCAATTCTAAAAAGTAGCGCGACAAAAATTTTTTGCAACAGTGACTTTTACAGTTCGATATACCCAGAAGAACTCTGTGAAGTTTCATCTCGATCTAGCGAACCGTTTCTTCGTTTCAAACAGTCAAACTTTTAAAAAAAATTAAAGGGTCACATTTTTTGAGCTTAAACACTTCATAGTCATGATTAAAATGGAAAAATTTTGAGGTTTTCTCACATTTTTACCGCAAATAACATTTAAATTGATGAAAAAAACTAAAAATTTTCGAATTTTTTCGAAGTTTTTTTTGTTTTTTGGAAAATCTTCCGGACATTGAAGACAATCCAATTGTTTTCAGCACGCTTCGGCTTTTTCGTCCTATGCTTCTGTTCATCGAATTTTGATTAAATTAAAATTATAGTTGATGACTCAAACCAGATTTCGACCCTGATTCATACCGTTTTTTGAGACAAATTTCAAATTAATTTTTGTGCAGTCTGTAATCACTTAAAAAACAGTTTCTTTCAAAACTACCCTTTTTCTTCTCTGAAAAAAAATTTCATTTTTTTTTCATCAATTTAAACGTTATTTACAGTAAAAATGTGAGAAAACCTCTAAAAAAATTTTTTTTTTCAATTTAGTATTGGTCGTATCGAAATTTAAAAAAAGGAAATTGAAGCTGAACAAATAAGCTATCTGGTCCATGCAATGGCTTAGCTGAAAAAAATTTTTCCAAATCTGCAAATTTTTTTTGTCGCGCTATTTCTTGCATGAAAACTGTAGCTCCTAAAAAATTTCAACCGAAAGATCTAAAAACTAGAATCTCAGAGCTTCAAAATGCTTTTTTTAACTCCCAATACAACCATTTTTCACCTAAATACAGTCTGTCAAAAATCACTGAAAATTTTCGGAAATTCTTTTGACCCTTTAATTTTTTGCATTAGTCTAATAACCTTATGACTGCATTATGCAAATTCTATTTCAATTCCAGTCAAAACTTCATGCAGAAAGTCACAAAATCACATTTTTTGCTCGCCTAGTGCCTGTTGTCATATCCCATCAGGTGAATAGATATTATGTATTTCACCTAAACTAGGTAATTGACACTGAAATTCACAAACTAAACAAAGTGCTTCAAAAAAATAGCAAATACTTTTTTTTAACTTCAAATTATTTTAAAAGATATTTTAAATCAATCGGATCAAATCTATTTTTTTTTATTACATACATTTTGTAAAATATTAAAAATAATTGTTTCAAAATGTAAATTACTTTTATTTGCATAAGTTTCTGCAAAAGTGCAATATTTGCTTATTTCGACATTAATTTTTTTTAATATCGTTAGATTTCAGATAAAAAATATTGCACTAATACAATTTAAAAAAAATTGGCATCTAAAAGAAGTTTAGGATCTGTAATTTTAGGAAAATTATAGTTCTCAAATATGTATCCACCATTTAATTGTTTTTTTCTTGGATTAAATTTATCCAATTAATTAATTAATTAAGAAGACTGGACAAATTAATGATGTGTAACTGTATTATAAATTGGGACACCCTGTAATTCTCTAAATTATTTTTAACCCAAACATATGTCATGCCCATTTGAAATTCAAATTTCATCTTGCCTTCATAAGTAGCAATACCCAGTACAACCCAATTTTTTTTAATTTCAATTTAAATGTTATATTTGCCATTTTACACAACAATTACTGTGTAGATTTGATTATAACTGATTTATTTATCGTTTTATAACGATTTGGTTATGTTAAAGCTTATTAATTTTTTTTTTGTCCCTTGACTTCAACATTTCCTAAAATGGTGAATTAGAGTGGGTTAGACATTGAACCTTGTTCGGACAATCAAGGTGAAATAATTACGAGAGCAATTGCTGTCTGAGAATTTTACCAGTCAGTCTGATCTTTCAGGATTAGCTAGTTGTGTGATTGTGCCGATTACCTTGACTAAAATATGGAAGAACGGTGAGATACTGAAATTTGACTAATTTTTATTTTGGTATAATTACACTTTAATAATTAATTGATAAAAGCTGCAATTCCAATTAGGAAAAAATATGATTATTTATCGAAAACTTTTAGCATGCGCACCAAAAAATTGCGTGTTTGCCATATCATATGTCAAGAAAATTATTCAGATTAAAATCTCAATTTTTTAATTTCATTCCGCAGTTTAAATCTAACTCTAATGCAAAAACATTTTTAACAATTGATTCATTTTTTGTCGAAAATCGATGAACGTAAAACAGATTTTACACTTGACGTTGTCATTTTTAGGGGCAACTTTAATTACAACCCCTTTGAATCGGCGCAACGCCAGTTCATGGAACTGCTGGAGTGTGACGATTTCAAGGAACTCGCCCCCACCTGCACACCCGTCAAACACACCCAGCGGCCACACACCAGCGACGTCACACCAACCAAACGACCCTCACCCGCAGCCAACAAAAAAACCATAAAATCCGCCGAGCCCGTGCTCACCAAAGTCTCCAAGAAAGCCAACAGGGCGTCGGTCATCGAACCCCCCAGCAGTTTCAAAGACTCCCTGGACTCGATCGCCGACGACTTTGAACTGATGGAGAATCTCATAAACGATAACTTTACCGACGATAACAAAAACGACACCAACGGTTTTTACCTCCACTTAAAATCCGAAAAGGAATCTCTCACGTTAAGCGACATTTTGAACAGCAGGAAGTACAGTGACGACATGTCGACGATCGATCCGATGCTGATCAACGAAAACGATAATCTCTCGATCCCCGAACACTTTAAAATCGATGACTATTCGCCCACTTCGACTGCGGACACCGATATAACCATACGAAACGACATCGACTGTTACAGCGTACAATACGACAATAAAATTGCCGCTTTCGAACCGAAAGTTGAAAAAAAATCTGTGAAAACTAAAACTGAAAAAAAACCGGCTGTGAAACGTTCCGTTTCGTTGGTAAATCGCGCGAAAACTGACGACAGTCCATTAAAAGCGACCAACAAAAAGTTGACGAATAAGACTAAGCTAACGAGTAAGTCTGTTTCTAGCATAACGTCCGCTAAGACTGTTACCGGTGATAAGAAGAAGGGCCTGTCGGGTTTGAAACGGTCCATGACTTTATTCGACCCCTCCCCAAAACCCCCGTCGTTAAAAAATAAGAACGACGTCAACAATTACTTCTCGGAACAGGAACAGAAGATATCTATGAGCATAGAAAGGAACAGCCCGGTTAAAGATGTAGGTATAATAATCAAAGTCATTTTGACTTGTTATTTTTAACGTTCTGTTGTAGTTAAGTGACCTTTTGGACGAAACGCTGAAACCCGAGGACTTGTTTAACGTGGACGATGAAATGTACGAGGAGTACAAGAAATATGAGGAAATGTATCTGAAAGAGAAAGCGCAGAATTCAGCCACGAAGAAGCATAAACCTAAAATCGTCGACATTAATCTCGGTATTCACACTGCTAGCGAGGAAGAGGATCATCCTCCACAATTCAACAAGATCTCCAACGATTCTGCATACGGAAGGTAAAAAATTTAACTAGTTACGCTTTAAAGCGCTTACATTTGTTAATATTGGAGTTAAAAACATAATTATGATTATTTGACATTTACACTGTTGCCAATGTGCTTTTCAGTGTCGCTTCCTCATTATTTCCCTCCACGTTTCAGTTTGACCAGGAAAACCCCCAAACACCGCAGCCGCGCCACCAAACTCACCCCTTTGGAACAGAAACAGGCGGACAGCACGAGTTCCAGCGGTTCCGAGAACTGTCCCAACTCTCCAGCGCCGGCTAACCAGCGTCTCTCCAAGTTCTGTCACGAGTGCGGCAACAAGTACCCCCTGACGACGGCCAAGTTCTGCGTAGAGTGCGGTGTGAAGCGGCTGGTATTGTGATATTTTTAAGGAGCGTGAGTGTATATTTTTAAATGGTTTTGTAATGTACAGACTCTTTTTTTATATATGTGCACACTTTACAATTTGGGATTTTAAGACGTAGCCGGGAAGTTTTAAACTTTGGTGCGGTACGGACCTTCGGTACTTATACTGCTTTAATAAAAGGAGGTATTTTTAAAGTGCTGCTTCTATTTCATGTTTTTTTATTGGGAGGGATCGAGGGTATTAAAATGGAAACTAAATTTTTGCTTTGAAGTTGATGCACATTGTTGCCAATGTGCTTCTAGGGGGGGCGCGTATTGGAAGAGTTTTTGGAAATTTGTTAGTTTTATGTTTCAAGACATTGTAGGTCAATTGTGACGATATTGTCAGTGCCTTTTAATGTCTTAGGCTCTAAAGAAGTAATGTTTGTTTTATTGCAATGTTGCCATTGTGCTTTTTACTGTGGTTCATGCTATTTCGGGATCAAAGATTTATTTAAGGATTGCAGTGTTGCCATTGTCTTTAGCTGTGTCTTACAGTAACGCATTCTTATGAAATATTGTTTATTGGGATGAGAAGGGCTTTTGCCGTTTCTGAAATTTTTCAGTGTTGCCATTTTTTATGTTTGTGTTTGAGAGTACAAATTTTTGTTATGAATTTCCAACGTATGAGTCTTAAAAATTTGAAATTGTGAATGTTGATAAAAACCTAAGCTATTTTAACGAAAATTAAAAATAAAACTTGGGCATAATTAAAACCTCAAAAAGTTAAAGGTATGCAATTAAGGGCATATGCTTATTAATGCCAAAGTGTACTTAAATATTTTATTATTTACAACGTAAATATTGTTAATAATAATCGTAAAAACAATATTTATTTTTATAGTTCTTTAGATATTATCGATATACGTTTTTTAAATGACCTTTTCTTCCGTAACATGTAACGAACGACTTTACATTTATGCACGATAATTGCCGCAATATTATTGTAAAATATTTAAGTATTTAATTTGTTCAGAATCGTGCAATTTTACAACAGAGTTTATTTTTATGTACTATACTTTTTTTATACACAATTTTTCGAACTTTTTCCGGTAGTTCTTGAAAATAACTTCCAGGATGTGACTTTATGAGTGATTTGTTTCTTATCGATAGGTTTACGAGTGATATTTAATTTTTTTTGTTATTTTGTAACATTTACATGTTTATGTTGTTATCATTCCAGTTTACAAACTAATGCTATTTTATTAACAAGACTGATGTTTTGTTAGGTTATTATTTGCCAATGAGTAACGTTTTTTTTTTCAATAAAAATAGTTAACTTTGAATTGGAACATTTTTTCTTTTCAATCAGAAGGGGGATATCAGAAGAGGGACATCAGAAGTGGGATATCAGAGGTGGGATATTAGAAGTGGGATATCAGAGGTGGGATATCAGAAGTGGGATATGAGAGGTGGTACATCAGAAGTGGGATATCAGAGGTGGAATATCAGAAGTGGGTTTCACAAAACTACACAATTTTTGTATTCTTTAAAATAATTTAATATATAATTTTTGACTCGATCAATGTACATTCGACAAGACCTTATGCGTAAAATGTGAAAATAAATTATAGTAGTAATCCTATAGTTCTTACGATAGAAACGAATAAGTTACTCCTACTCTACTGCTGTGCAATACTTTTGAAAAAAAAAAGAAATTCACGCTAAAAAAGGTTTGAAAATACAATCGTCTTATTTACAAATTATTGTGGACTTAAAAACAGGAAGCCAAAAAAAGCGTTTGCTTTCGAGTATTATTAATCCTTATTAACAAAATTTGTTAACGTTAGGTGTTGAAGAGACATGAAAGAGAAAAAATAAGATTTTTTAAACAGGTTCAAATGCAATTATAATCACATTTTGGTGTTTTTGTCTTTTATTCTTGTGCTTCGACTGTAGATTATCATTATGCTTTAAAAAATTCGCTCCTTAACACTAAATACCATCGACGACAATTCAAGTTAAGTACCTTGATCTACACTTTTCCTAGATCCTCGACAAAGGCGAATAAAAATACATATTCCCCAATTTCCAGACTAAAAACGCTCGATCGTTGTTGCAGAGAGCATTTAGTTTGGCTAAAACCCTTCCCGTTTCAACGTACAAACTTAAAAACTTATATACATTCCAAGACAACGAATACGTTTACGATACTTATCGATTAAATTAGCTTCAAAAGGATTAATAACACGTTTGTAAGTACCTATATGGCACTGAAAAAAAAAACGAAAAAAAAAAATACTATGCGATATCACCGAAAAAGTATTTTCAAACCCACCGTCGAACCTTCCGTGGGCCTAGTAGGACCGGATGGCTGGCGGGACAGTCGAACACTCTTTCTCGTCTAGGGTGACGTCGATCACAGGTCTGTATCTAATACTAACTTGTCCGGTTTGCTCGTCGATCGTGCTCAGTGTGTGCTTCCTCCAGTGGTCCTTCAAGGGTTTCTGGCGATGAAAAAAATATATAAATTTACTTATCGGTAACGATAATATCAGTATTTTATACATTCATTATACAGTATACAATATAAAAATCTTGATTTTTGGTTGGTCTCCAACTGTCATGGATTTTTTAACACTAGGGAAAAAAATAACACGTTAAATATCCCTTTTTATTTCCCCTGAATCTTTATTCTTGACTGCCTAACTATAGGGTTGTCAAAATTTAAAAATTTCTAGGAATCAGTAGGCGACCGCTGCACCCCTAAAAAGACGCACAAAAAAACGAGTGGACCGACCACGGAGGGGGGGCAGAATTAAACTTTTTCTAATCACTATATTACGTTGTTGCGAACAAAAAACCTTAATGACATTTTTCTGTATCGATGGTCAGTAATTTGTTATTAACAAAAAACTTGCAAAATTGCGAAAACTTAAAAAATCTATATGAAAACACGTTGGTTTTGGGCAAAAATAAGCACTTTTTAACTCTTGTGATTTTTTCGAAAAAGCTTTGTTTCCGAGCCACGAGCGATAAACAACCAAGTCAAATTGAAAAATAACCAAAAGTCACCATTTTCAATTTATATTTTCTCGGATTGTACTGGAGCTTTTTTAATTGTTCGAGGTTTCTCACCGAAAGTTATATTTTAAAATAAATAAATTTAATTTTGTTACAAGAAATGCATATTATAATATAGGTAATTTATTCATATAAAAAATACATTTATACTTAATTATAAAATTTCAGAACTACAGTAACTATTACATGAACAATAAATTTTTAATACATCTCACTGTGAATCTCTGCCTCCATATCCTCGATTCGTATTTCTAAATTTTGACATTTTGTAGAGCAAGAGCACAGATCGCAACATTTAAAGCCTTGTGATGGGCAAGAACATATTTCTTCGTCACTCATAATATTTATAAACGTTTATATTCAAGTACAAAGTATTTTTTTATATGAAATACCTATATTATGGTATTATTTTTCATTTAAATGTGAGGTTTGTATTGGCAAATCTTAGATAATAATATACGATATTATCATTAATTAAAAAGTATACAGTTGCTGAATCAATAGTTTACGAATCGATATTTTGATTGCCGGCTGCTCGCAGGCTCGCTCGCTCGCTCATGGCTCGGCGCATGGTGAAATGATGAATTTCACGAGTTTTCGGTTGCGTATCTTATGGGAGGAAAAAAGTTGCCAGGATGAAAAATATAAAACATGAAAATATAACTTTCGGTGAAAAACCTCGAATAAGAAAAATTAAAAAAGCTCCAGTACAATCCGAGAAAATATAAATTGAAAATGGCGACTTTTGGCTATTTATCGCTCATAGCTCGAAAACAAAGCTTTTTTTGAAAAAATCACAAGAGCTAAAATGTGATTATTTTTGCCCAAAATACATAACCGATATTTCATATAGATTTTTTAAGTTTTCGCAATTTTGTAAGTTTTTTTGTTTGTAACAAATTACTGACCATCGATACAGAAATAATGTAATTAAGGTTTTTTGTTCAAAACAACGTAATATAGTGATTAGAAAAGGTTTCATCCTGACCCCACTCTGTAGTCGGTCCACTCGTTTTTTTTGTGCGTCTTTTTAGGGGTGCATCGCTCGCCTACAGAGCATCCACAAGAAAATATATTTACAATTTGTGCTGCTACAAGTGTCTTTCATTTCCTATTTACAAATTTCTGTTGGAAATCATTTCATGACCTTAGTCGTTCGTTAGTTAAGCAAATCTTAACATATTTCGTGCGCAATTAACATCAAAAGGATTACATAGATCGATAAGACTTAAACCCAACAACACAAATATGCTTTTTCGGCAACCGTCCGGGAAGTGGCTACTTCCCGGACGCTTTTTCTTTGAGAAAGTAGCATTTTTTCGTAAGTGCGTACTTCCCGGACTATGAAAATACTATGACTATGAAAATGGAATATGAAAATCTTGGAAGGTATGATTTTGATAAATGCAGTTGAACATTACCATAGCAACGAAATAACGACTGACAGCCATCTGAAGTGAAATTAGTTGACATTTTAATTTTCGAAAGTTTGCATGGTTTTTGGTCACAATTGTCGCAATAAACTATGGAAAGCAACAGCGATAGTGAGTTTGAAAATGTGCCTTACGAAATTTCCAATGCAGCAGCTGCTGCTACAGCACAATTATTGCCTGAAAAATCAAAGTCCAGGTACGAAAACGTTTATGATTTGTTCACGAGATGGATGGATATGAAGAAATGCAAAACTATTACAGAGGATGTAATTTTAGCTTACTTGGCGCAAAAATCTGAAACTGTCAAATCCTCTACCCTGTGGAGCATGTACTCTATGTTGAAAAGTACCATTTTAGTGAAGAAAAATGTAAACATAGCCANAAGTCTTCAGCAGCGAGCAAATCAACAAATTCATTAGAGAAGCAGATAATGAAACATATCTAATGCTAAAGGTAATTTTAACAAAATATTACGATTGTAGGATATAAAAGTATCAACTTAATTTGCTTCATTTTCAGGTAGCAACAATTATTGGGTTAGCCGGTGCGTGTAGACGGGAAGAACTAACAAAAATGTCAATTGATCTAATAAACGACAAAGAAGATATGTTGCTCGTGAAAATACCAGATTCTAAAACACATATTGAGAGAAATTTTGTTGTAATTGGGCAAGAAAACCTGCTGTTGTATAGGCAATATTTATCTTTACGGCCATCCCATACTCCACATAACAGATTATTATTCGTGAATTACAAAAAAGGAAAATGTTCGATTCAGCCCGTTGGTATCCACAGTTTTGGGAATCTCGGATTAAGAATTGCAGAATTTTTAAATTTACCCAAACCCAAAAATTACACAGGCCATAGCATGCGTCGAACTTCAGCGACGATATTTGCTGATAATGGTGGAAACATCACAAATTTGAAGAGACACGGTGGCTGGAAGTCTACCAATGTTGCTGAAGGATGTATAGACAATTCACTAACAAACAAAATTAAAATTGCCAAGACCATTCAAAAATTATCAGATGAAAACAATCAATATGAAACGGAATCTTTACCTTCTTGTTCTGACTACAAAAGGCATTTAAATATACCAAGCATTTCAAACAAATTAAAACTTTTCAATATTAGCAATTGCTCAAATTTTACTATAAATCTTAATATAAATAAGAATTAGAATGTTTCTGTTAGTACCAATCTTCTGTTCGAATTTCAATATTTAATACAAATAAGAATTAAAATGTTCGAAATTTTGTTCTACAAAAAAATATAATAAAGAAATGTGTCTCATTAATTTGTTATTCTACATGGTTGCCGAAAAAATAGTGTACGCAACACGTCCGAAAACAGTTTTTTTGAACTCGCAGACTTCCAGGACACGCCTACGGATCGTCCTAGAATTTTGTCAACTCGTCCAAAAAAACAGTATTTTCCGGACTTGTTACGTAAATAACTATTCCCAAATCCGAAATCTAAATTTCTCAGTTGGCTCTGGTTTTCGGGATATCCTAACGTAAAAGTGTCAAAATCGCGATTTTTTTGACATATTTGAGGTTATATACCTGATTCGAATTCAAAAAAGTATATTCTGATTGCTAAGTTAGAGGGTCGGCCAAATTTTGTTAGCCTGTGTTGTCGGAGATAAACAATTAACAGCTGACTATTTTGTTAACAAAAATGAACATGACACGATTGAACATCGACAACCAATAGTGTAGTTCCAACAAAACAAATATATGTTTCATTTTTTGACTCATTCGACTGTCAGTTGAGAAAATAGAATATGTAAGTATTATATATATCGACTGACATGTTTTGAGAGTGAGTGAGATATAACCTAGAACAGGGGTCGGCAAGTAATTATAGCTGGGGTCCGGATACTTTTGAAAATTTTTAACGAGGTCCAGAAAAAAAATTCACATTTCTTATTTTTTATTTTAATTTGGACTCAAATTTAATCTGCTTACTAACCATTAAGAACTCAAAACACACAATTGTAAAATACTAGAAAAAATGATAAGATTGGCACTTAAACGTAAAAAACATTTTTTAAATAATTTGAGCAATTTATACTTTAAAAAAATTTTTGGCAGTCCAGTATTTTACCTTCCACGGTCCGGACCTGGACCGCGGTCTGCCAGTTGCCAACCCTTGACCTAGAATATATATTGTATCTTAAATGTCACTGCCACTCAACGCCTACTCACACAAAGCTAGTAGGCACAAAGTAATGCTTTATGTCAGTAGGCATTGAGTAACTATGACATTTAAGGTACAACACACTTTGTAGGTTATATCTCACCCACTAACCACACAGTTAAGAGCAAAATTTGGACTCTTAATTAAGTTCTAGGTACTAAAACTGTACGCTATCTGCTCCATAGTTATTTTTTATTACCAGTTGTATATAAATAGGCACGTTTTTCCTAGAAATCCCATCATGAATGACGATTGTTATATTTTATATCACTTTATAAAAAATATGGATTATCAGATGTTTTTTTTAATTTGCTTTAAATAGCGTCATTTTAATGATAGAAATATTGCATGACAGAAATATTGCAAGCAAGTTACAAAATGCGATGTTGCCAAAATTAATGTTTGCGACATTTCAGAATTTCAAACTTTTTAAAAAATTTTTTGCTGAATCTACGACGGACGTCTGTAAAAAAATCTTTATTTTTAAATATCGAGAGCTCGTACATGAACTCATTGTGACATAAGTTTTTAAAATTGTTTAAAAACAACCTACTAACCTTTTGCTGCCCCTCTAACGGTTTGCTGAAGTCGTACTCGTCGATGCGCACCTTGTAGTCCTCCCTCGCGTGCGCCCCTCTCGATTCCTTTCGATTCTCGGCCCCCACGATACTCATGCAGGCGTTCAACATAAGGTTTTGCAGCTCGAACGTCTCGACCAGGTCGGAGTTCCATATGAGGCTGTGATCGGAGACCTTCAAGTCGGTCAGTTTGCCGTAGAGGTCGCTCATCTTCTTCACGCCCTCTTGGAGGACCTCCTCAGTCCTGAACACGGCGGCGTGGGCCTGCATGGTCTTCTGCATCCGCAGTCTCAGGTCGGCGGTGGAGATGGACCCGTTGGCGTACCGGCACCAGTCTAGGTTCGCCACCGACGCCTCACCGGCGTTCTGAAATAGAGAAAATTCGCAGGAGTTATTTTACAATTTTACTGAAAAGGAGAAATTGTATTAAAAATTATAAATAATATAAACGGTGGCCTTGAAGGAGGAAATTCTGTATAACTCACTTCTTTAATGCTGCCGACAGACTCTCCCGGCTTATTCTCCTGGGCGATGGTCTTCGCACACGCTCTCCCGAAAACAACCAAATCCAAGAGAGAGTTGGCGCCCAGACGATTCGCTCCATGTACAGAAGAGGACGCTGCTTCGCCGCAAGCGTACAGTCCGGGAACGACGGTATCCTCATCGTTCACGGTGGTCAATACCTGCCCCTTATAGTTAGTGGGGATGCCTCCCATATTGTAATGAACAGTCGGTAATACAGGAATCGGTTCTCTAGTGACGTCGACACCAGCAAAGATCATCGCGGTCTCGGATATGCCCGGTAACCTAGTGTGGAGCTGTTCGGCGGGTAAGTGGTGCAGTTGAAGGTACACGTGGTCCTTTTCCGGACCGCAACCACGGCCTGAACCAAAACAAAAACATTTTCAATGGTTTGGTGAAACAATTCTTGTATACTTATAAAACTGTCAAATTAAGTGGATGACGAGTTACCATCTTATACAAGTCAACAATTTAAATATTAGAAATACCAAAACTTCAAAATCTCGGAGTTTTAGAAATCTCCAGAATCCAAAACCACAATTCGAGGATACCGAGATTATGCAAATTCCTGAGATTACAACATCCCGAGATCCCAAAATTTAAAATTCTGAATTCTCGAGATTTCAGAACCCCAGAATTCTGAGACACATAATCTCAGAATCCTGAGAATCCAAAATTTTGAGATTCTCAGATTTTAACATCCCGGAAAGCTATGAGTTCTAAATTCTGATCTCGAGATTTCAAAATCTAAGAATTTTGAAATTCTCAAGAGTTCAAAAACTGGAGATATCAAAATCCCAAGATTCCACAGTTCGAAATTCCGATATTCTGAGTTTACAATATCCCGAGATCCCAAGAATTCAAATTCCAAGCTCCTGAGATATCGAAGCCCAGAATTCTGAGACACAAAATTTCAGAATCCTGAGAATCCAAAATTTTGAGATTCTGAGATTTTAACATCCCGGGAAGCTACGAGTTGTAAATTCTGATACCGAGATTTCAAAATCTAAGAATTTTCAAATTCTCAAGAATTCAAAAACTGGAGATATCAAAATCCCGAGATCCCAAGATTTCACAGTTCAAAATTCCAATATTCTGAGTTTACAATATCCCGAGATCCCAAGAATTCAAATTCTGAGCTCCTGAGATATCAAAGCCCAGAATTCTGAGACACAAAATCTCAGAATCTTGAGGATCCAAAATTTTGAGATTCTGAGATTTTCAAACCCAGACAACCTATGAGATCTAAATTCTGATCCCGAGATTTCAAAATTAAGAATTTTGAAATTCTCAAGAATTCAAAAACCGGAGATAATCAAAATCCCGAGATCCCAAGATTCCACAATTTGAAATTCCGATATTTTGAGTTTACAATATGCTGAGAGCTGAGATCCCAAGATTTAAAATTCTGAACTCCCGAGATTTCAGAACCCCAGAATTCCGAGACACAAAATCTCAGAATCCTGAGAACCCAAAATTTTGAGATTCTCAGATTTTAACATGCCGGGAATCTATGAGTTCTAAAATCTCAATCTCAATCTCAATTTCAAAGTTTTGGGATTCTGAAATTTCAAAATACCGACAACCCGCGAATTTAAAATCCCGATCCCAAGATTTAATCAGAATTTCAAAATTCTAAGGTCTCACAAATTCAACATTTTGTCTTCTTAAAATCTCGAAATGCCAGGATTCCATTTTTGAGGATACCGAACATTGATTTGAAATTACGTAATTGTAAAAACAAGTTTATAGGGTGTTTTTTTCATAAAAGATGTTTTTTTTTTATTAAATTTCATGACTGGAAATCTCAGAATTCTGAGATTGAAATTGTTGATTCCTAAATCCCGAGACTGAGTCTCGATTCTTGGACCCCTAATAATATTAAGCCCAGAAAATTCAAGAACATGAAAAATTATATACAAAGGGTGTGATTTTAACACCATAGTCTACCTTTTTTGGGTAAACGCACATGAAAGATATAAACGTAAAAATGAGCAAAGGTAATTGACGACGACATTTATTGTTGAAGTTTAACGAAGTGTGTTTTAAGAGGTTAAGTGTCACTAACATTATAATATATAATTTCTATTCTTTTTTCCTATGTACGACTACACGTTAGTCTAGTTGTTACTTCGTTAGTCTTGTTAAATTTGTCATTTTATTTATTGACACTAACTACAGCCAAATAAAACTGAGACGTTTGAACTACTCCATCAGATTTTTAACATGATGCTAAAATAATTGTCATTAATGGTCACATAAATTTTGATATACAGAAGAGCATTTCATAAACAATATTTAACGGACCTATTAGCCCCATAACTAAAAAAAAAATCTTACCTTCCCGAATTTCGATGGTCATGCTCCTAGAAACGACATCCCTAGATGCCAAATCCTTGGCAACAGGAGCGTATCTCTCCATGAAACGTTCACCCTGTGAGTTAATGAGGTAGCCACCTTCACCGCGACACCCCTCGGTGATCAAACAGCCGGCGCCGTAGATACCCGTTGGGTGGAACTGGATAAATTCCAGGTCCTGACAGGGCAATCCGGCCCTGGCGACCATGGCGGTTCCGTCACCCGTACACGTGTGGGCTGACGTACAGGAGAAGAAGGCGCGGCCGTATCCCCCTGTAGCCAAGACCTAGAGATTAAAGAAGAAGGGATTCGGTCAACTATAATATAAGACAAGGTCTGCCAATTCATAAACTACATATTTCATGTATTTGTCATTTTCTTTTTGTGCAATTTGCTGTGGGGTAAAGTAGATGCAAACTATTTTTCAAAGACCCCATTCTCACATGTAAATGATCATCCAAAATGCACAAATATTACCCGATACACATTGTTTATCATGGGACATTCTTAATCTGTTAAATTGAGTAATTTCTGACCACCCCGATTATTAACATCCACATACGATTCCATTTTTAATAACACTTATAGGAATAATTAAAATGTAAAAATGACTTCCCCACTTATTCGCTTATGACAAGCACTGACACGCTGGAAACTAAGACATGAAGGGATTTCAAGAAATTAAACCAAGAAGTCTTTTGTACACGATAGATAGAAAGAGGTGGCTGAATATATTATCTGAACACTATGCGAAATCAACGGCACATTACAATTACATGCAAAGAACATACAAAATTATATTATTAGATTAAGAAGTAGTAAAAATTGTGTAAATAAAACTTACTTTGCAACGGGAGTGATACGTGTTTATTATAATACTGCGTGTTATTTTGACAAGTTAAATAAGAGTGCAAATTTGAGGTTAGGAAGAGAAGATAATATTTAGTTAATGCCATAGTGCACAGCCTGTGCGTTTCGATAACTATTACGTGATAAAAAAGCAGAGCGCGCTTTCCATCTGTTGTATACCCTTGTAGTTTCCATTTTATGTATTTCCGTTATGTAAGAGAAATGGTAAAAATGGACCTAAAGCTTACGTTTTTGGTTTTAGAAAACCTGTAGTATCCCACATGTTTTTTTTTTAAATATTATGTACTGGCATTAAATTTCAAGATAGGGCGTTGAAGCTTCACAATTTAGGTGGTAGTGCACTTACCGTATTTTTAGCCCGGAACCTGTGAATGGTCCCATCCTCCAAACACAGAGCGATGACACCCCGGCACTCGCCGCCTTCCATAATCAAATCCAAAGCGAAATATTCCACGAAGTAGTTACAGTCGTACCGCAAGCTCTGCCCGTAGAGCGTGTGCAACAGACTGTGCCCCGTCCTGTCGGCCACGCAGCAGCATCTGTGCGCCTGGCCCCCCTTGCCGAATTTCAGAGACTGGCCTCCGAAGGCCCTCTGGTAGATCTTTCCTTCCTGGGTACGGGAGAAGGGCATGCCGGCGTTTTCGAGCTCGATGACGGCTTTCGGGGCCTCGCGGGTCATGTAGTGGATGGCGTCTTGGTCTCCTAGCCAATCGGAGCCCTTCACCGTGTCGTACATGTGCCACTGCCACTTGTCGTCTTCCATATTACCTGGAAAGGATCTTAGTTGTAGGAAGGGGTCAGTTTTTATTCAGTCAATTGGTTTTATTTGTAGTTTTATGCATAATTGTACACGTACATACAGGGGGAATCTTTTTTATTTATCAAAGTACTTATTTCTAAGAAATTATCACAAAAATAATGATACAGTAGAATCCTGCTTAACCGACTCTGGGTATTTAACTGACATCGTTTTACCTTTCTGTAACTTTATTACTAAGTAGTTGAATTATGAAGAAAATAAGAAAATAATAATTTGGAATTAAAGGAATATTAAAAAAAATTGCTGGATAAGAATAATCCTTTAGCAATAATTTACCTGATTCAAAATATTGTTTCAGTAACGACAGGGAAAGTACCTTATGTGCAACGTTATGCATAGTCTGGTAATTTGGATATAGAATCTGCCAATAAAGTTTGGATAAATAATTTAATACACCCTGTATACTATATTCGAAGAAAATAAAATGAGCAGACAGCAGATTTTTGCATTTTATCAGCAGTATATATTTTTTATAATAAAGACACCCTCCTTTCGTTTATTAAAAATTGTGTTGTTGCTATCAAAAATGTTCTGTAAAATTTAAACAATAGAACATTGTAAAATATTGGAAAAAAGTTTATTTTAAAACAACTAACATCTTTTTTTTATAATCTACTCATTATAAAAACTTGATAAAAAAATGGAATCACCCTGTACACAATTTAATAAAAGTTAATGTTATATTAAATGTTGAAATTAAATTTGTTCAAAGAAATGTCAACATATTCATTACATCGTTTTTCTCTCATTTAATATAAACAGGGTTCATAGTTCAAAAGTAATAAAGAATTCCCTGACTTTTCCAGGTTTTCCCCGACATAAAAAAAATCCAGGTCACTTGTAGTTAATTTTTACATACTAATTGGTGTTTATGCATTAAATTTTTTGGATTGGACTCCATAATCTTTTTTATACCCTAAGAACCTCTTATAAAGGTTTCAAAACCACAAATAGTTTTCTCTTTCAAGAACCCAGGGCAGGCTTTCACAAAATTTCCAGTTGCAAACATCAAATTCCCTGACATTCATGAATATTTTTAAAATTCCCTGACTATTCCCTGTTTTTTATGAAGAATAACAAATTCACTGACTTTTCCTGGACGCTACGAACCCTGTATAAAGCATTTCTAAAACGTTTAACAATACATATGCTATTACAATTAGAAACAGTGACGCTATATTTTATCAAAGTGCTTTCAGCAGAATTGGTATTTACAATATAATTCACACGGCATGACTAAACAAACAGATCTAACTGAGTGCTGAATAATAAAAAAAATTATTCCAAACAGAAAATATTACTCACAAAATAACCTTAGCTCATATAGATATGCATTTATGATTATTATGTAAGCGAAATATCACGAAAAACGTTTAAATTGCGATAAAAATTAACAATATGTAATTATGACCAGTTATGAGCTATATATTGCACTATCGATAATAATATTCCAATATAACCAATTCTCTGCTGCGTTGCTCAATAGTGGTATAATTATTCACACAATAATAAAAAATTTTATCTTTATTTTCAAGGGTAAATTAAATAATAGATAAAGTTGTTCTATATTTTGGAGTACATGCATAATATATTTCATCAATGTTTAGTTAAACTTCAGTATACTCCTGATTTTACATTTTGCATACATTTTTTAGAAGGCAAAAATAAAATGTACCTACCTACTTCGATAATAAAATAAATCCTTTGACATTATAAAAATCTAAGTATGTTTATCACGGCTTATTAAAATTACAAATTTTAACCTTATGTGGTTTTTTTGTTTACTAATACTTGTATTTTTACAGCAAGATAATATGGCTTGAATATTTACATGATATTGTTACAGTAATATAATTTCACAATTCAAACATTATTTTTTCGAATTCTATCGAATGTATAAAAAAATACTTATTTTTAAACTATTTATTAAACATTAACTAAATATTTTTGGTATGTGTATAGGCACATGTTATTAACTGCAAATAAATCTATAAAACTATTTGTTTAAAAATAGTAATTTAGAATGTGAAATGGCAAATCCATTGGAGAAAGCAAAAGCTTTTCACGCTCGAGATTCAAACAATATTTTTTCGAAAACTGCAATAAAATAGGACAATTGTGTTATATACAATAATTTAATTTATATTTTAAATCGTTTGAACCGTGTTTGAATCAAGACGGTTTAGGTGCGATGACTATCATAAGGATAGCAACTTAATAAACAATAAAAATTATTTGTTTGAAAAAGTAGTGTCAGAATTATATATTGTAATTCATATTCCAAGAGTATTTAATTCAAAATGAGCTCGGAAAGTGAAGACGAGCATTTACCAGGGGAAGTATTGGAAGCGGCACAAAGTGCTGTTTCACAATTAATCTACAAAAAATCCGAAGCGGTATTATTGGCATATTTCGAACATAAAATTAATAAAATGAAACCTTCGACGTTATGGTCAGTATATTCCATGTTAAAAAGTACACTGAATGCCAAAAAAAAAAATGTAAATATCAGAAGATTTCTAAAACTAACAGGATGTTTGAAAAGCGAATCAGTTGGATAACGTCCGAAAAAGTTCAAAATTTTAACGAAAGAGGAAATTGAGAAATTTTCCTACCTAATAAAAGATTTCTGTTAGAAAAGGTAATTCAAATTAATATAAATCCATCGATTCAACTAATTTTGGAAAACTCTTCAGGTCATTTTAATAGTTAGTGTTTGTTGAGCTTTTTTGTGAAGTACGTCAGGGAAAAATGTCTTAACCAAGTGGTTGATGTCAACAAAATAAGGAATGTGCCAAAGGAAATAGCAACTTATCTCATCCGGAAACTTATACAGTGCACTGATTTAGACGTTCTTCTGCCACTCTGTTAGCCGATGCAGGGGCCGATATTACCACCATTAAACGACATGGGGGGGGTGGCGTTCTAGTACGGTAGCGGAGACATGCATTGAAGATTCTGTACAAAATGAAATCGCAAATAAATTGTTACCATCTTCAGCAGAGCCTACGAAGCTTGCCAATAATACAGCATGCGCAGTAAATTTAAACAATTACAGCAGCAGCCTCATTGAACACCCAGAACTAAAATCTACGATAACTGACAGCACTGGATCTGGCATAAATTTAACTCACTGCAATATCGGCACTTTCAATTTACATGTAATGCAAAATAAATTGTAATCGTCCTGTTTATAATAGTTACTGTTTTGTAATGAAATGTTATATTACTTAAAAAGTATATTGTTTAATGAATAAAATCATAAATTAGTTTTGAAAAAATGACAAACTATTTTGATATTTGTTTTATGTTCTAGCACGAAAAAGACTTTGTCGTTCTAGAACATAAAAATATTTTGCAGTTAGGTGACAAAAAAGATTCACTTTGTCGACTGAAAATTTAACGAAAATTTAAAAAAAATAATTTAAAAAAATTATGTTTTCACAACAGAATTTGAGAAAACAATCTTATGACATGTATTTCTATAGATCAAATGTAGTTTGTGTATAAATAGACCTCCATGTAAAGTACACACTGCATATGACAATAATATAATGAGCTTGTTAATCTACGGTGAATGCCAGCAAAATGCCACTGAAGCATCACACTGTTACGATGAGGACAACATTTCACGATGAGGACCCCAACCAGATTTGTTTTTAAAGACTTTTGTTTTCACGGCAGAATCTGGGAAAACACACATATGATTATTTTTAAAGGTCAAAGGAAGCCTCCGTATATTTAAAAATAATTAAAACTAAAAGATAAGACCATTATTATGATGCACTAATAGTCTGCTACGATAAATAACTCATTCCAGATAAAAACTTATCGTTTCTGAGATGCCAGACTATGAACTATGTGACATGGTAACTTCTAGGATCTTCACAGTGGAATTACCCTAACATTGACATTGTTAGCTTTATCTTACGGCAATTATATAGTCAATGAATGGTTGGAAATGGACGAATGGTTATCAATCATATATAACTGATAAAACTACTTGAATTTTTATTACGAAAACCCAGAGAGGTAAAATAAATATGTACAAGTCAAGTGTTTTGAGATCCACACAACGATAAACGAAAAGCATATAAGATTATGATAAAAGTATTATCTTTTGCCAGAAATTTATTATGTCAAGCTGCTAACTACATGTATTTGTGAAATATAAAATTGTTGCTGTTTTCATTAATTCCATTCAAACAAGAATCACTAAAACCAGTTATTATTTTTATGAATGTAACAATCTCTTGAAGAACATAGTTCAACTAATTTTAGTAATTATTACAATCCTTTCCACATAATCTTAAGTATGATGTATAATTTTTCGATAAAAGCAACATGTTTTTCATTTAAAATAAAGGAAAAAATTATCTGACATTCTGAGAAGCACAACAAATTCATTTTTATTACTAATCAATGGTCCAGTGTATAGAAACTGTTTTTAATCACACATATTCTTTAAAAAGCACATAACAACGAATACTACTTACCTAGAGCTGCATTGATGCCCCCCTGAGCAGCCACCGTGTGTGATCTCGTGGGGAAAAGTTTCGTGATAACCGCAGTCTTGAAACCTTCCTGCACCAAGCCGAAGGCTGCACGCAATCCTGCGCCCCCTGCCCCCACGACAACTGCATCGTACGTGTGGTCGATTATCGGGTAGACTTTAGAGGCACTATCGGACACTTTAGCATTCTTTCTATCCACTTGAATGTGCAGGGCTCGCGTTAGCGACTGAGGTACGGTATTAACCTGAAACAATAAAAGAATTTAAAGGTAAGTCATTCAAGCGTGGCACAATGTTGTGTAAGGAGCGTGTGGCTGAAGAAAAAAATAATAAAAAAGTGAGAAGTACATGATGCTTTGCTGAAGGTTATAGGAACCAAAAGTATAAATCTGTCGTAAGGCTTAGTGAACCACTCAGAAACGTAATAAAACGTAATCGTAATTGGATAATATTAAAAAATAACAGATAAATACCTGCAATTAAAGTTATGTAACTGAAAATTCACGGGTTGAGCACAGGTGGAAATAATCACTTACCTTGACTACATTATTAATTAAATTTTTCGCTAGGACCGACTGCAATTTTAAAATACTACTCATGTTCACAATTTTACAAATATTTATACGAAATACTGTTGAGCGCCGTGCGCTTTTCCAGATGCGGTGAAGGTAGAATTTCAACTAAATTTGAACCAATCCCAGCTCACACGTGAGAAAAACAAAAGTGACTTGTTTGAATTTTCGCGCCAAAGTCTGAGAAATTCAAAATATCGTTTTACGGTTGAAATAACATGAAAATAAATAACTAAAAACATACATTTCCGTACTAAAAATGATTGTTTTAAAATCTACAACAGAAAATAATATATTTCTTGTACACCTTCAAAAACTGTTTTAGTGTTAAAGTTTAAAGAGAAAGTTACAAGCAGTATTGAAGAGCGTACATAGTCTAATTTTAATTTTTAAATAACTTATTATTACAAACATAATGCACCGTTATCTATACCCAGTTCAAAAACATATCTTTATTTTTGGAGGCAATGACCGCTCACTGATGTGAACGAAGATGCTACAATTTTAGAGGGAGATGTACACTTTCGCACTGGATCCATACTACTTTATTAATAACTCATTGGTTTATATTGGAGGCGTATGTTTTTCAACCAGTCAAATGTTAATAGAGAATATAAATTATTCAAAATTAAAAATTATATTTCTAGTGTTTCATGCATAGGCAACCAAACCTACGCTGTTCTATTTTACTGGTTGCTTATAAGAATATTTAAATTTTTTATAATCTCATCTTTTTCTTGAAAAATTCTTATCATAAAATTTAATAGAATAAAAGTTTATCAGTAGTTGCATGTACAGCTTGCCCTACTTATCCTTAACAATAATAATTTTTTAAGTTTAGTTGAGAACAAACCAGGCAGATGTCGCGATTTTTATAAATAACTACAACAGATTACAGGTTAGATTAAAAATTAATGTATTTTTCAAATAATTAATTATACATACATATTTTAGCATTAAAACTACATCCAACTCTTTGTTATAAACACCCGCATGGAAAATAATTAGTAGAAACGTCACAATAATCATCTGATTAAAGTGTTTAATTAACAATTTAAATAGACATACATCCATATACAAACAGGTGATCCTGGTTCATGTCGCATTTCAACGGAAGCTCGACAAAATGGTGCTAGTTTTAAACGGTGTCCTGCAAGCCAAGTGTCCACAAGACACACAGTCTTTGTACAACGCTCATCCTGTCTATCGAGAGACTGCAGCACAGCTACTAGCTATACCCAATAAAGTGATAGGTCCTGTGGGGCTCTTATACGTCCAACAGAGGGAATTTGCCGCTACAGTGTCCCATGACAAGAACGTAAGCATTATGGGGTCAGACGATGCCTCTACGTGTATCATAGTAGTTGTTCGACACTCTGGATCAGGTGCAGTAGCATTAGGACACTTTGATGGCTCTGGAACAGACGAAGCTGTCTGCACGATGGTGCAGAGAGTTCAGGAGCTGGCTTTGGGGTATCCCGAGGGCAGAATCGAGTTGCAGATGGTTGGGGGGTACACAGACGCACATCACTTTTCCGAAGAACTGTTTTATAGTATAATGACGGCTTTTCATAAGCAACCGGTCGAGATCGATTTGACGCTGGCTTGCGTGGGGCAGTTGAATTCGACGATTAGGGGAGGTATTCCGTGGCCCATTATTTATGGGATCGGGGTGAACATTAAGACTGGTGAGTAGTAAAATTTTATATTTCGTATACAAAGTGTACCTTTGAGTGGGAGTCAGTTTTTTGGTAACATTATATGTTGTCCAGAACACCTTTTTCTCAAAAAAAAAAACATTTTTTTTTATTTTAGCTGCGGATTTTTAACTAAATTTCAGGTGTACAGTATAGTACAAACTATATTGTATCAAACTTATCTTTTTTTATGGATACCTTTATTTTTTGTTTCATGTAGCACAATTTTTGTCGTGGAAAAAAGTAATATTTATTTGTTATCCCAAACAATTATTAATAAGTTAATTAATTAAATTTTGTACCAATTTTTCTGGAACTTTGAGTAGAATATTAATGATTTATAACAAAATTATGATATTCGGTAATGTAAAACTAATTTATAAAATGTACAAAACAAAAAATAAATAAAAATTGTTTGAAAGTACTGTGTTTAGTCTGAGAATTTCAGGGTCAATGACTTCTGGCACTGACCTATAACTTACCTATAAATATGACCGATAAATATAGCACCCATTTCAAAGTTGCATCCCACATATTGAACAACCACAGATTCTTTCGGATTAAATAGGATGATTTAACGACTCCTATTTGTTATCCTCATATTTTAGGCGAAATATTCCCTGCGACCTTCCCAGAAAAAGGCCCAGAAGAGTCGTTGAGGTCTGCCCGGCACTTAGCGGGCGTCCCCCAAGTCCTGGACATCTACGACTGCAGTCTAGGCCTACTGAGAATCGGTCCGTTTAACTACAGACCCTTGCGAGGCGTGGACCTTTGGCTCGAGCAAAACGACGAGTTCATTTTACAGCATTTATCCACTTCTCCGGAAGTAGAACCGCCTCATTTCGTAATGCACATCAGGGCGACGCTGAAGTATATCCAAGACAACCCGTTTCCCGCCGTGACGGTGTTCAGGGATAACCGTCCGCACTACTTCCGCCGGGACGAGCATTCAGGTATGTGGGTGCCCGTCGGGTTTTAAATTAGCGGAATTATTGTTATATATTTACTGTTTTTATTCAAAATACATTTATATATATATACATATAGAGAGGATATTTTTGCATATTTACATTCGTGTCATAGATAGTGTATCGTTCGTTGTTTAGGATGGGCCCTGGGAATTACAAAGTTACTCGGTGTCATTAATAAATATTTTGACAGAAAACGGAAAAAAATAAAAATTTAATCACTTTGAAAGTTGTGTTAAATACCATATTTCTTTTTGAAGTTTTTCTGTCGGACCGTTGAGCCAGGCAAATTTAGAATCAAATGAAAAATTGAAGCGTTGCCAGTAGTTTAAACAGAACATAAGCCCTTTTGTATCTTGGTGCGCTAGAAGCCATTGCATAACTTTGCACACTTTTTTTTTGTAAAAATTCGTGGTTCAATGTTTGAACTGATTTAAAAACTATATTTTTTTAGTGTTTGTTGCAACATAAAACATATTTTAAACGATTAAGTTTAAAGGACCCTTTTGTTTATTATGAAGCTGGCAAAAGCGTAGTTGATTCTTCCATTTCAAGGTGATTTGTAGGTCAAATCCCCCTCTTCAACTTTTCAGGTTGATATATCGTAATAGACTAGGCGGTATCTGTTTTGGTTTGGGTGAATCTTATATCCACGGAGATTTTTGGCTTTTTGGCTTTCACTAGAAATGAAAATTTTTCTATGAGCATAAAAAAAACATGGGCTTAACTTTTGGCGGCAGAATATGTTAAAAAAATTCGAAAAATGTAATATTTTTCTTGCTATTTAATCATGTATCTTTTCAAGAGTTGGTTTTAGTCGAAAATGGAAGAGAAAAAAATGTTTGTAATTAAATTTTTTATAAATATGACTAGTTACAAATCGAATGAATGATGATTATTATTGTAAAAATCCAAAAAATCGCCAAAATTGGGGTTAAAAAACATTACATTCTAGGGAATTTTTTTGGGGTATTTAAATTGGGTATAGGACCTTCATACTTGGCTCAAGAAAACTTCATGTTATGTAGAATCATCACACCAAATTTCATCAAAATCGGTTCCATAGATTTTGCATAATAATTTTGCAATCCATTTTGAAAAGAAATTTGAAAATTTTCAAAATTTTGCACAGCGAAAACCAAGGCCCTTAGATACTTGAAAATTTAATCACACATATAGAAGGGCTCTCAAGTTTTGAAACGGTTTTCGAAAAATTCGAATCCGTCAATTAGAAGAGCTCTGGCGCTTGTTTAAACATTGGTCGAATTTTGTGATTAAATTTTCAAGTATCTAAGGGGCTTGGTTTATGCTGTGCAAAATTTTGAAAATATGCAAATTTTTTTTCAAAATCTGGATTGCAAAATTATTATGCAAAATCTATGGAACCGATTTTGATGAAATTTGGTGTGATGATTCTATATAACATGAAGTTTTCTTGAGCCAAGTATGAAGGTCCTATACCCAATTTAAATACCCCAAAAAAAATTCCCTAAAATGTAATGTTTTTTAACCCCAATTTTGGCGATTTTTTGGATTTTTACAATAATAATCGTCATTCATTCGATTTGTAACTAGTCAGATTTATAAAAAATTTAATCTTCCATTTTCGCCTAAAATCAACTCTTGAAAAGATACATAATTAAATAGGAAGAAAAATATGAAATTTTTCGAATTTTTTTAACATGTGCCACCAAAAGTTAAGCCCAAGTTTTTTTTTATGCGCATAGAAAAATTTTCATTTCTAGTGATATGTGGAAGTCAAAAAACCAAAAATCTTCGTGGATATAGGATTCACCCAAATATGGACTTTTTGAACAGATACCGTCTGGACTGTAAAGGTAACAAGATATCGGGAAAATGACCAGGGAGACTAAATAAGAACAAACTCCATGTAAACAAATATCTTACCAAATTAATTAAATTCTTAAAAACAAATTGCAATGTTCATTTTGATGTCTTGGTTAGTACATTTCTATTCACTTTAAAATAAAATTGGTTTTTGCTTACTTCACTAGTATTTATCATACTACATTAACTTCGGTGCAAAAGGAAAACTAGCGACCCTAGTGGTAAAAACTATATGTCATTTCTACCATTACATTGACAAGTTTTGTCAATTTTCCCATATGAGTTCGATCTCCTTGTCTAGTCGCCCTGGATTTGACTTTGAACGCCGTGTTCAAGGTTATTTCAAGGTCAACTGTTTTTTGAAGGTAATATGATGGAAACCAAGCTGAGAGTATGGAGTATGTAAGACCAAATTTTCGTCTATCGTCATTTTTACGTTCTCAAAATCATGAAAACCAAATCTCAAGAATATGAAAATCATCATCTGAGTGTCTTAGAGCCAATTATGATTTTTTCAAACTGACCTTCAGGTCCAAGGTCACCAAGTGGTGGCCTTCTATGACCTAAACAATTTTTATAGAGGTCATTTTCCGGATATCTAGCCATCTTGACTAACCATTTCATGTTCGAGAACGGGATTTATCCTTCAAATGACTTTGAAAATAAAAAATTACTCAGTCACGTCTCCAAACGCAAAATTTCTAGTTTTTTCAAAATCTGCCATCAAAAAACGAGAGTTGACCTTTAAATAATCTTAAAAAATAAGTCAGCTACATATCCAAATGTGGAATTGCTCTTTCTTTCACAATCTGGTGGAAAAATTGTATTACCATCAAAAACAAAACATGAGTATGGTCGAAAGTTAAGCAGATGTGCAAAGTTAGGGCCTTGGAATGGTATTTTATTAAGATTCACGATAATTTTGTAAGTCTCGGGAGGTGCCAAAATTTTATCTCTCAATGATGAAATCTGCTATATTGTGAGAGGTTTCCTAGTAATTCTTACATATTTACTATTTTTTATCGTTATACTAAAAATGAGACCGAACTATATTTTATTTTCATATTCATTTTTGTTATATCTATTTTTATAAAAAAATCGAATGATAATTTCGAAGAGTTAGATCTGGAGGTTAAATTGTTTATATATAAAAAAATTTTAGCATATGAATTCGTACAATATACAGGATGATCCAAGATCTGTGACCATTTTGGTCTATATCTTTTGAGTAGGTATAGAAATGGTGATTTCTCTGGGCACCCTGCTTTTAACTCATTGTTATGTTAGATCGTAAGATTTTTATAATCGAAGGACTGCTTATTTAGTGAATATTAGAAATTTTATCGACATCGATAAACTTTTTGTAACCCGCAAGACACCTTCGATACATCACAGCTAATTAGTCGAGGAACGTCTTCCGGTTTGCAATAATTTTAACAATTTTGTTATGTTAATTGGGTTGTTAAATTTTATCTTGCCATAATTATTACAAATATTTTGTACTATAATTTTTACTGTGTACTACATTTAATTATTGGCTTATTAAAAGTTTTATATTTTTACATTATTTTTTATTTCCCCCTAACGAACAGTACAATTCTAGTAGTATTGATTAGAACAAAAAATCTGAACTTTAAATGGGAAACAAGGTCGATAATATACAGGGTGTTTCTTAAGTACGGTCCGTAACTTCATGTGGCCGGAAACGTTTAGATTATGAGATACAGGGTGTTGAAAATTTTAAAAAGTACATCAACATTTGAAACAAATTTGGAATAGTCAATGTCAGATTCTTATAATATGGCAGTTATAAGTCAATTTTTATCTGCCGCTAGTGGCATATAACTAAGTCTTGAACAAAACAAAAAAAAACGGACCAGGAATTCCAATAATAAGCACGAATTTTATTTTTATTACAAATAACAGTACAATATAAAAAATATGTAGCTTTGGACGGAAAAGTATATAAGTGCACTCGAACTGCATAAAAAAATTTAGCAATACACTAAATCCTACATAAATGAAATACAAAACTCAACATTAATCATAAAAAAATCAGATCTGTGGCTTAATCTACAAGTATTTCTTAATACTTGTAAGTAAAACATATGACTATCAAAAAGTTTGTACAAAAATAAAACTTCTAAAAATCAAAGAACGATTTCGTCACCTCATTTTATCTCAATACTTTAAATAGTATGAAACTGAGAATCGAACCTAGAAGTAAAACATTTGACGATTTCAAGTGCGACGAGATATTACAGCCGTCCTTTGTGTTGCAAGTACAGTACTCCATAAAAATGTTATATGTACCCGTTCGCATCAGGCAGAAACGCTCGTCGCCTTTTATGCCAGGTTCCCCCAAGTAGGCACAACTTCGGATGTACTTCCAAACCCCATTAACTAAAACCCACACAGTTTACTTTTAAAATATCCAAAAATGATCAACACTCACCTTTTTGTCTCATCTTCCTGCACATCGTGGCTTGAACAAGGGGATAAGTTTCTAACCGTGTTGCCTTACTACAATCGGTGATGGCAAAAGTAGTGTTATCAAAAGGATCCGAACATTTTGGATCTACATCAGACCTACAGTCCCAACATTTGATGGACAAACCTAGGAAAAATGCGTTTTTACTGCCAATAACAAGAGGATATATTTAATTGTCCCATTAATTAAAGTATATTCGTCACTTAAATATCTGAAATGGGCGAGGCTTTATGTAAAACGTAAACAATACCGTACAATTACCTTCTTGAACTAGTACAAAAAATATCACTACACTTGTAAGGCACGTGAATTTTAGGTTCATTTCCATTGCACTTGCTGCTTGAGATTCTTTTAAAAATTATTAACCCACAAAATAACGTTTTTTCCCCAATGCGTTTGAAACAGGTGGTCACTTTTTTGTTTCCATCATTTTATCTTCATCTTCGTCTTAAGTTTAAGGATAGGATACCAACTTAAGGTATATAGTGGGTTCTCAAAATTAAGTCTATTACGTGATTAGTCATTTCTATCTCAATGAAAAATATAAGCTTCCATGGAACAAATCCATCAATTTCAAAACAGTTTTGTATATGCTTACGTGTGAATCTACAAATTCTTGTCATTCAATTCGTATCTTAAAAATAAACATGAATTTTAGTAAAATCATAATAATTAATTATTTGCCGAGTTTAATCTTGTCAGTTGTGATTTGTGAACGTACTACTACAAAGTTATATTTTCATTTTCAAATATTGGTGACACTGGTTACTAAAAGATCCATTTGTGTTTGTGTTGTGAATGTTGTGATTTTTAGCCTTTTAAACAGTGCCTTATTTTTATTTTGTAAAGATGATTAAAATAAGAAGAAATACAATAGTGGTTACCACAGCCGTAATATTCATATCGTTGTTGGCTACAGGTGAGTAAGCTGCCAAAGTAATAGCTTTTTGGTTATGTTGTAGTGTCAACTTATAGTCGCCCAAACGAGTTTTTAGACTATATCTGTCAAAATTCTACGTAACTTATTTGTTCCTCTGTGATGATTGTACACAAATGGGCGTGTGCCTTTAAATAACAAACTAATTAACAGTACTAAAATTTATCTATAACTCCTTTTTACCAGGGGAAGCTGTAAGATGTTATCAATGCAGTTCTGACGAAGATGGCCTTAATGAAGACAACTGTGGGGCATATGCGAAGTTCGACACGAGACGCCACATTGCCATTGAATGCAACAGCGAAGAGAGTCACATGCCCGGATCTTTTTGCATGAAACTGACCCAACAAAGTCCTAGAGGATTTATTTGTGAGTACAATGAATCGGTTACCCTGCTTTATATTACATTGTGCCTATTTTAGGGGATGGTAGGTGGAGACAAGTGATTCGACGTTGTGCCTCTGTGGCCGACACAGGGGTGACGGGTGTGTGCAACTGGGGGGTGTACGAAAATGGAATTTATTGGGAAGAGTGTTATTGTTCAGCCGATGAATGTAATTCAGCTGATTTGAGTACAATTTCTAATGTTGTGTTGTTTATCTCAGTTGCAATTTTGCTGTTTAGGCAATTTTAAAGTTAACCTTTTTTTAATGATTTTTTTTTTAATTAAGGAAATAGTAAAACCCTTAAAGCAGCTATACTGTTTACATTAAAATACTCTTTGAATCTCAAATATTAAGGTTTAAAATTTAATTTAAAAGTACCAAAATAAATTTGTAATTTTTTAAATTTGTATACCTATTATAATATTGTTTATTTATCTTGTACAGTTTACTCTCTTTGTTTCTATTGTAGATTTTTTTATTGTGTTTTACATGAACAAATCCGTCCAAAAAACTGACAAGGTAATGTCGTACTATATAAGAATTTTTTTGTAATTACCAATAATCTCATTTTATGCAGTCCATTCCAAAATATTTATAAGTTGTTAAATATGTGGATACATTTAAGTAAAATAATGTAATTTGTTATTTTGTATTTTTTTTTATTGAAATAAATTTTATAGACAAAGGAGGTTTCATTTTGCAATAGATTTGTCTGCCATTTCGAAAACTGTTTAAAAATATGTTAAATCTCAAATATTAAGAAAACATTAAGGATCAAAGTAAACTGGCAATAATTTTATAAATATAGTACTGTTATACATGGTGTTTGCCATAGACCACCTAGACTGGCTTATAGAGCGACTTTGGTGAAAACACTTTGGAGCCTGATTTGGAGCCCAGCGCTCAGTCGTGTTCTAGCATTTGACGTGTACACATCGCTGTGATTTCGATAATTAGACGTTATATTATGGGCAAGTGTGTTGTAAAACATTGTATAAATAGAAGTGATCGAGTTGGTAAAGAGAGGCGAAAAGTTTCCTTCTTTAGGTAAGTAAAAAAAAGGAATATATATGAGGTAAATATGTACGCTATTTTTCGGTTAACAGGGTTAGCTTTATAATTTTGTTCGCCCACATAGTGTAGTGATTAACGTGATATTGTTATTATAAAATAATGAATGAATTACTGTAAAATATTTTTAGTAATTATTTACTTTATGTGTCTTAAATTTTTATGAAATTTTACCAATTCCCGTCATTTCGAGATAGCTGAAAATTAATTAAATATTTGTTTCAATTAAAAAAATCGCAAACAAAACTAATTTCAGATTCAGTATTCGTACAGTCAATTAATTTTTATTAAAGATCGTGGTTGTTTTACGTATTCATCTCGAGATATCGTAGTAATATGCTAAGAAACAAAAAAATTAATAAAATTTTTAAATAATGAAAGCAGAACACCTAGGCTACAGAAAAATAAAATTGTTTATCATGTATTAAAAAACTTTCTGAATGTGAACATATTTGAAAATTTGCATGAGCATCAATTTGATAATTTGCTTAACAATTGTAATGATTTAATAGAACTTGTAAGGGCTGAATGTGAAAACTATATCGATGTACGAATAAATCATGAAGTCAAATTATTTAATTCGGAAAATCTATGAAAAGACAAATATTAAATAAATTAATATTATTTAGAAGATAATAAATATATTTAAATTATTTTGTAGTTTTATTTAATATGACACTAAAATATACTATTTTCTGAATTACAAACTTAAAATTGAATATTTGTCATAAGATGCAATATAATGTTTAATATGTAATAAAAATATTACTTAATCCGGATCTGCTTAAAGATGCGCGCGATCAGATTGCCTTCCACACTCCACTTCCCCGGATTTTGCATTCACTGGTACCCGTGCATTGGAATTAGATACGGCCAGTCTAGGTGGTCTGTGGTGTTTCCTGAGAATGTGCAGAAAATCAGGGACGTATTCTAATTATTTATTTTGTTAAATAAAGGATCGTTTTCCAGCTAGTTTCCAAAATTAGAAAAAAATCAATTTAATTTTAATTTTTAACAAATTTAGTACATATTTTTGGTACGTTGGTTGGTATAAAAAATATATTTATATTTAAAAAAAAAAAAAATTACAATGCTGTATAATACAAACAAAAGTTGTCTTCATATACTCCATTGCACCTTTTAATTTTTTGCCCCTACGCATTTTTTGATATAGCATATAATTTCGCTTTAATAATTAATTATGAGTAAGTAATTAAAACAAATAAATTCATTATTTTTTAATTTTTATTTTGTGAGGAAGTGAAATTTTTCATGAAAATTGGAGTGTCAGAGGACCCTTCTAAAATTTCGAAATTTTTGGATTTTTTAAAAGATTTTCGCTATGGAATTTAAATTTCCCGCTAAAATTTTAAAAACAAATTTTTAACATTTCAAAGATAAGTTCCCAATAAAACCTTCTGCATTACGGAATTTTATTGGCGACACAACATTTAAAAAGTTCTGACGGAATAAAGTTGGATAATAAGAAAGTTTTCATAGTAAAGCGTTTTTTTTTTATACCAAGACCGAGTTTCAGAAAAATAGGTGAAGTTTCTTTCTTAATTCATATTGTCATGAAGAATTTTTCAATATTTTTACTAGATCGATTTTCGACCTTATGTACTTTGGACATAAGTGCCAAAAAAATATCTTCTTTGTCATGACCTTAAATATCGCGATATTCTGGCAATACTAGAAATATTTAAGAAGTTTCAATCCCCAAGTGACAAACTAAAAGAATTATAGAATTCATATATTTAAATTTATATAACAATTTTGACTTTTATAGTAATTAATAAATTAAAATTTTATCCATGTTACTGAGCATGCGCATTAAAGAAAATTTCACAGTCGATAAACACACCGACATAGCGTATCACCTAGAAAAACAATAAAAATACGTAGTAGAACTAGAAAATGCCAAGATTAAACAAAGCTAATGATGACAGCGATGACATTATCAAGACCTTACCTGCGTATGAGGCTATTTTTTCCGAGCATGCGCATAATAACACGGCTAATGTTAAGTTTACTTTATTTTAATTTAGGAATATTCTTTTATATCGTTTTTTGTAAGTTTTAAGCACATTCGTGCATATATTTTACGAAACATGTGTTGGTTGTTCTTAAATACTTCTAAATCCTTGCAAAAATAAATTAATTTGAAATTGTTCATTTTTATAGTATCTATGTAAATAGTACACAAAGGTCAGATTCGGTCTGTACAATTTCAACTATGATAATTTGTTGCGGGTTGCCTAAATATGTGACGTCACACTAAAAGAGTATTCCGTAAAGCAGAATGCAAAACGCGAATAGTTTTGGTGGGATTTAGCCAGTGTACATAATATTGAAATTACAGATATACTGGTGAGGTGATTGATGATAAGTTGTGAAACTAAAAATTTTGAGTTTATCTTTGTTTTCTGTAGGAAATGCTTATAGATTAGAAGGAAGTAAAACAGTAGAAATTCTTTGAGATTTTTTTTAATTGTTTTATATTATAAATTGTTTTAGTTTTTGTTCCCAAATTTATAAATAAATTTTGGAGAAAAAAACTTGGAAATGGTCCTTGCATATTGAAATGTGTCAATTTTCAAATATTTACGAACAGTTCTAGGAATTTCCTATTCGGAATTACATACAATGTGGCACGAAAAACTTAGTTATTTATAAAAATATCTCACACCAAGAAACTCCGGCCCGTTGAATTTAGATTATAAAGAAAGAATTGTAAATAAAATTGTAAGTTCGAAATCCTGTAACTTTTTAACCATCAATATTTGGACTAAGATAATACTTGACTCAAAATTGGTAGGTACCTATACTTTGGTCCCTAGTATCTCTAGTTTCGAGATTTCCCAACCGTTCCCAACGTAATTTGTTATTTTGTATTTATTTTTATCGAAATTAATTTTATAGACCAAATGGAGCTTTATTTCAGATCAGACATTTCCGACTGTTTAGAATTATGTTCTTTGGAATGAAAAAAATAAAACAATACTATACATGTATTTGTTACAAATTAAAACATAACACCTAATCTAATGAGAATATAGTTATTTACATTTGTCTCTTAATTATATTAATACACAAACTGGAATAGATTTTAATTCACTACCTATTTTATTCTAATTTTATTTTCTTACAAAACGTGTATTTTAAAATTAGTACAATTTACAATTTAACACACTTTGTACCAAACTGATTTACCCTGAATACATGAAACTTTTGAGAGATATGCTAACTTTAAAATTTTTGTATATTTAACTAGTACCATTAGTACCAAATAAAATGCTCTAAACAAACAAAAAATAATAATTTCGTTTTAGCACCCAATAAAAAATCTGTAGCAAATTAATCTTTGCATGTTATTGTCGCACAAATAAAAGAAGCGAAAGCGGCAGTAAACAAGCAAGTAAAACGCTCGCTTTTACTCCAAATGCGGAATTGCAACCGTCGGTGTCGCAATATTCACAGAACTCCAAGTTCAAGCCTCTACTTTGGGGTTCGTGGCAGGTGCCTATTTCTTGGTTCCACTCGATCATGGCGCAGCGCCTGACAATATTGACATAGCTGTTGCTTCCCGTTCCTAAAAAATAGCTTCAATTAATAACTGAAGAAACATTTATGTTTGACATATTTACACCGAGATTTGCCCCTACACTTTATTTCTGCTATTTCTTAAGTATTGAACATATGTTTGTCTTTCTCATAATTAAATCATTAGGTACTCATATCTTTTTTATGGCAACGCAAATTTAAATTGTTGAGAATAGGTGAACCACTCTTATTCTAGCCACTTTGTTAGTAGGTGAACCTACCCTACACTTTTTAACATGCCACGCCGCTAGCAGCGCCACCTTTATTAGTCTTTGAGTATTAGAAGTTCTTTTAAACTGTGTATCTCGATTTTGGAAATAAACCGTGATTTTTAACATAAAATTGTTGAGTTCAAAGTGAAATTTGTGCTGTGTTGGTTATCCGTAATCTAAACTAGTTGCGCGACGTTAAAATTTGTGATGCAAAGGTGTTAATCGAGTAAAATTTGTGATTTACTTTCTTATGTGTGCGAGAGATTTCGGGTTTATAAAACCAAACCAATGCAGTAAGTTTCAACAGTATTGTCAGATTCATTGTTGGTCTCTCTTCTTACAAATATTAGCTCTCAAAACAACATTTTACTACATATTTTGCCAATTTGTAAGATCAACGGTTCGTTAAAAAAGCTTTATCCATATCCAATTTTCGCAATGGCGTCAAATAAACAATTGAACATCCAATTTTGGACAATCAGCTACTGCAATCATGGACTTTAATTTTAGTTTTCCCTTTCACTGATTTGAGATATTAGTAATGGGCATCGCATTAGTTAACCAAGTTTTATAATATACTTAAAATACTGAATATACTAAAATCGCAATCAATGTTCTAACTTATAGATATTTATGCATATAAGAATACACCTTGTATTGTATTTTATTAACTTCCCTCATTTTCCCCGCTTAGTCACACTATTAATTTTAAATTTTACTGTTCAAGTTCCAATAATAAAACGTTTGATATTTATATGCATGAGTTGCAGTTCTTTAAATTTAATGCGTGAGTATTTTCTAGCACGAAAATTCAAACACGTGCCGTGTTTTTCTATGATCTAGGACAAAATGCTTGAGGCATATTCATTAGATGCGTATTGCATTGCGTACGAATTATGAAACTATGTACTTTCACTGGAGTTTAATATGACTGTTTGTAGTAGGTAGTTAAGCACTAAACAAGAAACTTTATATTACATATTCATTATGTAATTTTACTGTGTACGATCATTGCAAGTTTGTTTGAATATTTCATATCAATGCTTTAACAAGAAAGTAAATAGCAAAACGTTTCAGGAACATTGTATATATAGCAGTATCTGCTCTCAAAATAATCCAGAATTAAAATTGTGGTAGAGTGTACAAAGCAAGCATATTTGAGCACTGGCTAAGAAAAGTTGTTTCAAGATTATCGACAAATTTACAACAATCTTGGTGAATTAATTTTTCATTGCAAAGTCCTTAGATGTCCACTCAGATGTCCATTATAACTGTTTTGTAAATACCTTGCAAGCATGGAAAAAGAATTATCCAAGATTCTTGTACTTTTAAATAAGTTTTTATAATTTTTATGTTAGGTTTTACTTGTGTTGTATACTTTTCCGACGGTGCATTAGCGTCATTCTAGTAGGTATTTATTTGACTTAGTACCTACTTTGAAAAAGCAACTCACCTCTGATAGTCTTCTTGATGCATACGTTCTTCATCCTTTTGAGGTTGGCTTCGTTGTCGTTGCATAACTCCAGGGTGGGGGTCTGCTCTCGAAAGTTAGGGTTGAAATTGGGGTTGAACTGAGGGTTGTAATTCTGCCCCTGGTTGTAGTTCTGCCCCTGGTTGTAGTTCTGCCCCTGGTTGTAATTCGGCTGTAGACTGTCGTAGAAGTTTCCTCCCCTCCTGGCGTTGATGTCGCTGATGTTGAAGGGGTCGGCGCAGCTCCTGTCAATGTCGCTAGAGCATTTCCAACATTGCAGAGCGGAAACTGAAAAAAGATTTCATGAAATAATCTCAAAATATGGATGTCAAATAACAAACTCAGAATTCGAATTTTACAACGTACTTTTAAAAAGCCACTCCGAAATCTTCCAAACAATATTATTTTAAAAAATCTACAAATCTATATAGAACCATCCAAATGCAAGTGTTTGTTAAGAGAATCACGACATCGAGATACGGTTTTCACTACCTACTGTTCTCGAAAATGGAAGTTAAAAGTGATGTGTCTATACAGTCTGTTTGATTATAAATAGTCCAGATGGTATCTGTTGAAAAAGTCCATAGTTGGGTGAATCGTATATCCTCGGATATTTTTGGCTTTTTGGCTTTCACATATCACTAGAAATAAAAAATTTTCTATGCGCATAAAAAAAAACTTGGGCTTAACTTTTGGCGGCACAATATGTTAAAGAAATTCGAAAAATGTCATATGTTTCTTCCTATTTAATTATGTATCTTTTCAAGAGTTGATTTTAGACGAAAATGGAAGAGGAAATAAATGTTTGTAATTATTTTTTTTACAGAATATGACTAGTTACAAATCGAATGAATCATGATTATTATTGTAAAAATTGAAAAAATCGTCAAAAATTTGGTTAAAAAACATTACTTTTTAGGGAATTTTTTTGGGGTCTTTAAATTTGGTATAGGACCTTCATATTTGGCTCGAGAAAACTTCATGTTATGTAGAATCATCACACCAAATTTCATTAAAATCGGTTCTATAGATTTTGCATAATAATTTTGTAATCCAAATTTTGAAAAATATTTGCAAATTTTCAAAATTTTGCACAGCAAAAACCAAGGCCCATGGATACTTGAAAATTTAATCACATATAGAAGCGCTCTCAAGCTTTCAAACTTTTTTTGAAAAATTCGAATCCGTCAATTAGGAGAGCTCTGACGTTTGTTTAAACATTGGTCGAATTTTTGTACTTTTAAACAATTAGAATAACTTCGTGAATATTCAACCAAATCAAATTTTTTAAAGCAGGTTTTAAAAGTTATTGGAAAGACGCTTCTTTAAAAAATAAACAGATCGATTGGTCAATTAGTTACGTAGTTATAGCAGTTCAAAGTTAACAGTCATTTACAGTAAATGTACTTGGATATCCGGGCAAATTTTTCGAAAAATATTAAAAGGCCCCGAGCTATAACTCGGTTACCCATTTTTGGACACCCTGTATATTTTTAAATGGAATGTTATTTTCTTTATACTGACCCAGAACATTTTTTTTCGGTATGAAAAAAGTTATATCCCATTTAAAAATATATATACATTACAGGGTGTCCAAAAATGGGTAACCGTGTTACAGCTAGGGGCCTTTATAACCAAACAGACTGTATATACTATAATTAATACAAAAAAACATACGTGATATATTGGAATTGTTAAATTCAAAGAAATATTTTGTATTCTTGCTGTTCTATCATCACCCTCAACCAGTGATATAAAATGACCGTCATTTAAACTCGTGACGGTCATAGCCGCCATGACCAGGTCATGACGGTCATTACACGCCATAAATATTTTCAGTTATGAAAAATAATAGTACTTAAAATAATGTAAACTGAATCTCAATATTGCCTTAATAAATTCAACAACAAAACCATATTAATATCAAAAAAGTTTTTAACTACAAAACAAACAACACAAAAAACACATGTTCTTTGGCTATAGATTTCAAGTATAAACAAACAACAAAATAAACAAACAAAAAATTATTACCATTGGTTAAGTTTTAGGGACACCACGTCACCAGGTGGAACATAAACTTACTTCTTACCGCATTGACAATGAATATTTAATACATATTAATTTAATATTAACATTAATAAAATCATCAAAAGTATCTATAAAGTGATTTTATTTTACTGTAATAAATAATAATAATAATTTAAATATTTAAGAAACAAAAACTGTCATGACGCGGTCATTTTCTATGTGATGCGACGGTCATGGCAGGTCACGATATCGGCCATGCGCTGGTCACATGACCCACTTACATCACTGCCCTCAACAAAGAGACTCTTATTGCATTAAATAACTATTATTATATTGTCTTCGCATTTTGTGTGATTTGCTGTCAGTTTAAGCTAGGTACTTTATTTTGAAAATAATAATCCCTTTTCCATAACAGTTCTACACCACTGGTATTCACCGAGTCGTAGTCTAGTACACACGTAAACATGTTGTGGAACTCGAAAATGACCAATACAAACAACAAGCCATATTATATCGTATTCGCTTGTTGTGTAATCTTAAAAGAATTCAAGGATAAGGTTAGACTGCTTTTTGTTAAATGGTGTCAGAGAGGTAGGACTCATTATTCATTAATTTGAATTACCAGGTGTGCGTGGGCGAGTATATAATAATTAGGCATATTATGCATTGCTAGAAATGAAATAAACGCTGCTACAAATAATTTTAGACACCTATCTGCAATTATATTGTCTATACGTCATATTTCAAACAACTACAAACGAAATAAACGCTATTACAAACCATTTTAGACACCAATCTTGAATTACATTGTTTATATGTCGAATTTCAAGAAACTACAAACGAAATAAATGCCGATACAAACAATTACAAACTATTTTATGGCCAGAGCTCGGAGAATAGCAACTCTGTTAGATTTCGAATAAGTGCAATCGAAATAGACGCTACTGCAAACGATTTTAGACATCTACCTCGGATTGTAGTGACTATTTAGACTATTGATTATAGGATTTTAAAAGGAACTATGGCGTTCAAGATATTTTATTACATGATTCGTTCAAATGGTCATTTTAGATGAAAAAACCGCGGAGTGCTATTAAATTAGAGGGTGGAAATTGGAGATAGGGGTGAAAATGTACCCCTTTCAGTTTTTTAATTGTAACTCGAAAACGAAGCAAAATTTCAGTATAGTTCATAAGAAAAGTTTTGTAGAGAATTGAATTTCCCATCGAAATAGCTTATTTAAAAGAAACATTTTATGCAAAAAACCGTTAATCTTGTCTCTAACTTTTTTTTAGAAAAAGAAAAAGAAAATTGCTGTACCAAAAAACTTTCAAAATGGTGCGTTTTCAAATATAATTTTTTTACTTTTTTTTTAAATTTTATTAACGATTTTTTTGCATAAAATTTTTCTGTTAAATATTTTATAAGCCATTTCGATGGGAAATTCAATTCTCTACATAGTTTTTCCTACGAACTAGGTATACCGAAATTTTGCTTCGTTTTCGTGTTATATTTAAAAAACTGCAAATGTGCATTTCCCCCTATCTTCAATTTCAACCCTCTAATTTAATAGCACCCTGCGGTTTTTTCATTTTTAATGACCCTTCGAACAAGTCATGTGATGAAAATCCTGGAACGTCTTATTTCCTTCATTTTTTTGCAAAAAATGAGAATTAAAACGTATAAGGGTAAACGCGACGAAAATCGAAAAACGGTAATATGTTCATTAACGTTCCATGTACTTTTTAACCTTGTAATCAAAATAAGCCAGTTTTGCAATTAGCAATAAATATTTTTTTCTCGAAATGTAGAAATTTCATTGACAGGGCACAAAATTTGATACCGAAAAAAATAATATTATGTAATATATATACCTATATAATTATAGACCTATAACAATGTCTTTGGGATTTTCAAAAGTTTTTGAATATGGCTTCCTCGAGCGATTAACATCTTTTTTGAAGAAATATCATATACTTACAAAAAATCAACATGGATTTCGTGCAGGTATGTCTACTACAACTGCTATGCACTCTTTATATGATAATATATTGATGGCTCTGGAAGCGTATGAGTGTCCTGTTGGGGTTTTTTGCGACCTCAGCAGGGCATTCGACTGTGTAAACCATACACTGTTATTATCTAAATTACAAAATGTGGGTATTCGCGGATTAGCACTAAATTGGATCAGGAGAGGAAACAATCAGTTATTATTAATTATAATAATCAGAATAATGCTTCTGTAACATATAAATCAGAGTATGCCTCTGTTAAGATGGGAGTCCCACAGGGATCAGTTTTGGGTCCTGTGTTATTTTTATTATATGTCAACGATATTGACACTACTTCAACTAAGGCTCACTTTACTATGTATGCCGATGATACATCTTTGGTTTTGTCTAATAAGTCTGCAAGATTGTCATATTTTATTGGATAATCTGAATAAATGGTTTTCCCAGAATTCATTATATCTTAATGTTGCTAAAACTCAAGTACTCCGTTTTCATATGAGTCGTGCTATTAACTGTAAAAACTTAAGCTTTGATATTAATGATTTTCCGTTGACTAGTACTGATAATACTTACGCAAAATTTCTGGGTTTATATTTAGACGAAAACCTCAATTGGAAATATCACTGTCAAAGTCTAATATCTAAATTGTCATCTATTACCTATTTGTTTCGAAATATCAGAACAGTTCTTCATATAGAACACCTTCTGTGTCTGTATTACGCCCAGGTTGAGTCTCGACTGAGGTATGGTGTCTGTTTTTGGGGCAATTCGGTATTAGCCTCAAATGTTTTAATTGCACAGAAGCGAATTTTAAGGTGTATGATAGGAGTTCCCAGTCATTACTCGTGTAAGGATATTTTTAAAAATTTTAAAATTCTACCTTTACCATGTCTGTTCATATTTGAGATCTGCTTATATATATTCAAAAATAAAAGTAAATTTGTTTTAAATGATGCACTCCTCAAGTATAACACAAGACACAATACGAATTTACATGTTCCATTCGCTAGAATTAGAATAACGTCCAACTCTCCCGACCGTTTAGATCCTAGGCTATTTAATAAGTTACCTAACCAATTAAAATTGCTGAAAAGTGAATATTTGTTTAGGAAAGCTTTAAAGCAGTTTTTATTGGAAAAATGTTTTTATTCCATATTGGAATTTTTATCTACTTTGTCTTAGTTTGTAAGTTTTATTTGACTATTCCTATACATATTATGTCTGAGGAAAATAAATTATTATTATTAT